ATACAAGAGAAGATTTGATCATCACACTTTATGTGATCTTGCCTTTCCATTTAGCCCCTCCGATTTTCCACATTCTTTTAAATACCAGCTGTGTCAAGGAGGTTTGCAATTGGTCTCAGTTGAAATTTGCGTGTAAAAGCTCCCTAAACTCTGCATGAAAGCAAAGCTTTAAGTCACTTTTTTGGCTGCAGGGCGAGTTTACTGATTGTGAAACAGATAGCAGTGTGTAATTTCGCTTTTATGAAGGTTGGTGTGAGCATGCAAAAAAAAAGTTTAGGCCAATTTTCAACATCGACTTTCAGCATAAAAATAAGAGTTGAAGACAGGTTTTATTATTTTCATTAACAATCAGCGGATTCTTTCTTCTTTTGTCATTTAATTAAGTTGAGTTTTTTAAAGGATCATTAATAATAGCATACTGTATGACAGAAAAATAAACTTCAACACAAAGAATGAATCATTTTAATTACAATATGAACACTTGTATCATGTCAGCCCGTCTTCATTCTTACTCTTCCTCTCTTTCTCTCCTCTTCACTCTGACACTCGCTCTCTCTCTCTCATATGCTCACTCAGCAGATCTTTAATATTTGCCTTGGACAATGGTCCACTCATTGTCCACTCAAGAGTTTCAAAATACAGAATGATTATCAGGTGTATAATTTTTTACAATTCTAATTTCTGGGGTATTAAAGGGTTAGATTGCACCATTAGGTCGACTGTGAGCACAGGTGCTGATTAAGTTGATTCACTGAGGCAATTACAGCCAGATCCCCTTTAATTACTGTGGGTTTTATTGCAACTGCGTGATAATGGTGCACAGGGCCTGCAGGAATTTTAGATGGAGATGAGATTGCAAAGTATTGCACACGGACACAAATCTACAGGATGGGGGAGATCTTTCAAGCACACATACACGGACATATGCACACACCAAAAAGAGAAAAATCCCCAGAGAAAAAAACTCACATGGCTTCCCTTGAGGTATCTGTCTTATCACACGTGTGTGCTCCGGTTGTGCGTCCACACATTAGAGAACAACGCAGCTTCTTTACTGACTTTGTGGCTTATTTTGAGTCATTTTAGTCAGATACACACTCTGGGATTTCTTGATAATGGAAGGCTTTCCACGTTTCGGGCTCAGGCTTGTGCAAGAACTGTACCGTTGTCGAAGTACACCTCTTCCAAGCGTGGATCGGAGCGCTCACACTGGTCAAACGAGCTGGACTTTGAGGGTGAAGCATGTTTGGGCACGGTACAGATTGCCTAGCGTGAGTGCGCCCTTACACTACATGTCACATTCACACACTGATGGCCGAGGATGCTATGTGAAGTCAATACTAACATATCCCATTTTAAAACATTCACAAGCCACTGGCCATTCAAGCGAGAGAAAGTTGGGGTTCGGTGCCTTGCTAAAAAAACACCAAACACCAAAGCCACCATTTGTTTTTTTTTTGGTTATCACGATGAGCTTTTTCACAATTTTTGACACTTTCAGCGTGTAGATTAATCGTGATAACAGTTGGTTAATCAATGGCAAACAAAAGTAGTCATTATTCTCAGTCTACTGGTGGTGTATGTGCTGGATGATACACACTCCTACGCTCAGAGCATGTCCTGCCACAACCATTTAAACACTGACAGACAGGCTGACACCCTCTCTAACCTCCACACCCTTCCATTCACACACACACACACACACACACACAAACGCACGCACATGCACCCACGCTCTGCTCAACACCGGCAATGAGAAACAAGTCGACAGTTACACAGCAGGCAATATCCCCTGCCTTCAGCCTGGGTGCGTGTTTCGGATGCATCTGGTTAGTAAAAGCTGACAGAGGGCCGGCCATGCCTCAGAGGACAGCAGAATGAGGAATTTTTTCGGCGTTCCTCCGCATCACCCTTGAGATGCAGGAAACACAGGAGTGCCCTGTGGCGCCAACAAACACAATGCACGTGCACAAACACAACCTGTGATGGTGCTCCTAAGATTCCCTGTCAACAGGAATGGAAATGGGGAAAAGCAGCACACACACCCGTTATCTAAATGTTAACTCCGGGTCCCTTCTTGTTGTCACAGCCGGACGAGGTTAGCCAACACGGCTAGGAGCTTTGCTTGGGCCTCCATCGAGCTGAGACCCCCCTCAGGAGGAAGAGAAAAAAGAGCAATGCAAACCAGTCAAAGTTTCAGCCCTCAGTCATGAGTTCTTGATGTATTTTTTTAAGTAAAGCGAGGACGAAATGTACACACAGATGTATAATGTCTGGAGTATGTCCTTTGTTTTTTTAGTGATAATGAGGCTAAGAAATCTTCCCATCTTGCCTACTGCTGCAGTTTTTTTTAGATGATCCGAACATTCAAATATCATTTAATGTGACTTTGGTTTTTGGGATGGGTATGATACCAGAGGGATGTTTAATGTAGGTAGTTTTAACTTGTTTGGCCAGTGTGTTTTGACCATAGCTCTTTTTCAGAGTGAGATTCCTCAACAATTCTCCTCCGTCATTACGTCTTTGGACATTCATAGCGATGCAGCAACGGCGACGTGATATTGTTGTCCCAGTCTGTGAGTTCACAATGCGTTACAGCGTTGCGGAAGCACAACGTGTAGAGAAGCAGCAGGAGCTTCACACACACACACACACACACACACACACACACTCAGACATGCACACAGCAGCTGCCCTCCCTCGCTGGTCCATCTCGCCCCTGTAACGCCTCTGCCACTACCTCCATTGGTGGTACAGAGGTGGGATCACGTTGCCCCGCCCCCTTACCCCTCCGTGTCATTTATACTCGAGGAGAGACGTCACAGGGGCGTTAATATCGCCGACTCATTTGTTACTGACTCATCACTACTCTTGTGATTCTTACCTGGGAGTAATTGTGTTTTAATACCTTTTTCTGTCTGGGGGGGGGTGAAGAAGTTGAGAGTTGTTGACCTGATATGTACAGAAGGTCATGTTCACATGGCAGAGCCTCCTTAAAGCTGCCGTCCTGTGTGCTGCTGATTAATCACAGCATCATGACATGTATTTGGCTTCAGCCCAGAAGAGATGTGTGAGGCATGCAGTGCCTCAGCACTTCTGCAGGAGCTCCTGTGAACGGGATAGATGGTGCATATTGGGGGGGTGGGGGTGGGGGGGGGGCGAGTTGGTAGAAGGAGACTGGTGGAGACAAGTGGACAGTTGCATGGACAGACTTTAGACTCTGAGTGCAGAAGTCTGATGCAGCGCAGGCGGTATTTACGCTCCGACGGCTGCGGGACCCGGGAGCCGGATATATTTAGCCGCCTAGAGATATCACGCCGAGATGAGATTTCAAAGTGAAGTACCTGTTTGAAGATGCATGGCATTCCACAAGGGTGGGCAGGGGCTGCTTGGGTATAAATCTAGCACCCCTGCACCTGGTGTGAAGACAGGGAGGGAGAGTGACACCTAAGATTTAGGATGACTTACAGACAAGACGTTCATGTGTAAACTACACACTCATCCATATAAATTTACACACTTCCTATGAATGGAAACGCTCAGACACTTCACTTTTTTTAAGCTCCTTAACATCTGCACAGATTGTGCATGTAACATTTCCTCCTGGTGTCTGCCCCGCTTTGTTCGATCTGAATTCTCCTGGATGTCGTCAGGGTCATCCATCATGGTCTGATCCTGGCTGGAGGAGATCCTCAGCTATTTCTGTCGTTTCTCAAACTTAAAATCTGAGAACTTGTTTTAAAGCTAATCGTGGTATGAAGATAAACCCAGTCGCTCTTCAGTTACCGCTTGGTTTACGGACACACTACAGATGTTGTTCTTGTTTAAGCAGGGGCTGTAGGACTAGATCTTCTATGTCTTAAAGACACAGGTGTGATTTAAAGATATTTTAAGACAACCTTCCACAATCGCTTTAAAAAAAAAAGACAACCTTCTTATGGCTGCATGCAGCGCTTGTGGAGATCGCCCCAAAATACAATCTTTACTCGGTGTCTCTGAGACTTTAAATGCTCCTAAACACGCTCTCTACCCATCCATCCATTACTGTATCAGTGGAACAGAGGAGTGATTCTCGTGGACCCCCTCTTTGTGAGGAATTTGCTCGACTGCAGATTTGTGTTTTAGGAATCTGCAAGGTCGACGACACTTCAGGGCAGCTGTGTTAAACACGTTGGCACAGTGTATGTATCTGTGTGTGTGTGTGTGTGTGTGTGTCTGCTTGTGATTGGCTAGCTTTGTAAAGCCACCACACACTCATTGCCTTTCCCCTGAGCCTGTGACTCATTAATCAAATATTCATACATCCCCTGTAAATACATGGAGAACACAGTCGACCCTCAGAGCTCTGCGTGCCCCCCAGCACAAATGCTCTTTCATGTGTCAGACAAAAATCCCCAAATATCCCATCTTGTCCTTCCAAACTTGGGAGAATGCTCGCTGCTCTTTTATGCATACTTGATGTTCCCGCTCTGTCCACATAGCCTGTCGGCCGTCTGCTAGCAGCAAAAAGAGACATGGACGAGCGCACAGATCAGACGGGGGGGGGGGGGGATCTAAATGATGCCTTTATGTGTTTTTTCTTTGCTTCTCCATGGTGCAGAAGACAACAGACGAGGGATTCTTCTCCCTCACCCTTGCCCCGGATCGCTCACTGAAGGGACAGTTCCCTCCTTTAAAAAGCGAGGCTCATCATAATACAAGAATTTGTATTGTACAGGAAAACAGTCGGGCATAGCTCAAACTAAGGGGGCAACACACAGATTATCCATGGTAACAGAGCTCTGCACACAAGGATATTTTCTTTTCCTCCACGGAAGAACACAATTGCCGCCAGTGTCACTGGGTCACATATTTTCCGGTCCCTGGTTAATGGGCTGTAGAGATGGTTAGCACGTACGATTAGTTTTAATCTACAACAATTGACTGGGAGAGAAAAAGGATTGAATACAATTCAACACACCACTGAGGTTTGTATCTGGCAGGGGGAAATGAAACAAACATTTTTTATTCCTCAAGAGTCAAACTTTTTGAATTTATTCTGGCAGTGTTAAAAAATGATTCTACAGTACATGTGAGTGTTAACCTCTGTGTTGTTATGAAGGACCGCAGAGCACAGTTAAAAATAAATATATCTTTACAAGGTTAGCATGACTCACTTATTGCTACTCTGAAAAAAAAAAAAGAAGCTCTACAGTCTACTTCAATTCCCTGAATCTATCTTGTTTTTTTAATTGTAAAGGATCATGTTAAAGAGATATTGCTTAGTGAGATGTTGCACATGGCTTCATCTTCTTTCACCACCAGTCACTTTTCACAATGGTGCAAAATGTATGTCACTTGAAAAACACAGTATGGCAATCAAACACATTGTCACCCAACACTCATATTATTGCATAGAGGAAGAGAAGAGTTCAATGTGGTGGATTAAAAAGAAACCATGGCAATACTAAACTCAAAGCTGGTGACTTTGTGTGCTTCTCTTATCGAGGTCTTAACATGACCAATGAAGAACTGATGTTGTTTGATGAAATGATTTTGGCTGAGAAGTTCCGAGGAGTTACAGAGCTCAATCTTAAGAAAAGTGATTGGCCTTTAATAATTACCAGTTACGCTTTTACAATACTGCTCTTAGCTGAACACTAAGCGTAAAACTGTGTTGAACTGTAGGTGTAGCCGTGGAAAAAAAGACCTCAAAGCGAAGAAACACTTATTTTAGTTTCTTCTTCTCAACGGGAGTCATTGTTGTGAGTGGAAAATCTGTATGAAAGTGCTACGACAGAGTTAAGGTGCAAAAATAATCAGATGACAAAATCTGGTGTGTGATTACAGTCACTACGAACAGTCGTCTTCAAAACATGTTAAATAACAGTAATGTTGTAAAATGAAATGTGTCTTCGTGTCCCAAGGTTTCCTGACAAAGTGTTCAGGAAGCCGGCGTTGCTCGTCAACTTAAGTCTAAAAAGTTTTGGCAAAAAGTGCGGGGGAACAGAAAAAGTTTTCAGGGATGTTAGCATTTTTTTTTTTTTTTTTTTAAAGAAGGAAAAGTTGGATAACCTTCAGTGTCTCAACAGGCTCAGACTCAAGGTTTCGGGGTGCGGAGCGGTTTGATTCATTAGAAGAAGTTTCCTGTCAGTAGTAGTTCTGAACAGTGCTGTCAAAGCAGCACAAAGTCCCCGGCAGTGGTCACCGTCCTCCGCGGGTCACGTATGAAGGGCCACTCTCTCTTCTCTGGGGTCAGGCCGGCCGACAGGTCGTAATCTTTGCCATGACCTTGTACGAAAGTGAACGCCGGGTATTTTTCCTTGGCTGACGGCTGCAGCACCTGCAGCAGAAACAGAAACGGCGTTAAAGAGGAGTGCAAGCTTCACACAAGACTGTGTGTTCAGAACAGTCTGCTCTGAATTTCATCTCATAGTCTAATCAGGGCCTTCTTCTTCCATCTCATTTGTGCTCTCCTATATTACAAAAAACAAACTAATTAATTAAGAATGACTTAAATTACATAAATTCTAGTACATTACTTTTAATATAATTTCTTGAGAGTCTTCTTAGCATCAAAGGGAAAGGTTGAAGGAAGAAAGACTCTTGCTTCCTAAAACATCTTCCCAACATGTTGACTGGTTTGAGACATTCATGGCTAAATGCTGCCACCTAGTGGCCGAATTGTACCATATTGACTTCACATTTTCAGGGCACAAAACTGAACTAATATAGCTTCATAAAATAATTAAAGTGAAATGTTGGCAGCATTGCACTCATTTTTAAAGAGTATTTTATTATTATTTATTTTTTTGCACCTTGGACAACTCTTGCTTGATTCTCTCAAAGTCCTGAACACTCCTGGAGTAGAAACCGATGGTGCAGCTTGGGTCCATCTTGCTGAAAGGCATCTTCTTTGGTGAGGGGCAGTGATATGACTTCAGACAAAAAGAGACAGAATACATGAGCAAATATTAATCAAACTGAAGGCTCAGATGACGTGCAACACCTGCAGGGCGTACGTACGTATACGGTCCATGGCAGAGTCAAACGCGAGTGAGATGTATTCTGCATCATTTGATGAATGAAATCCTATTTATCTGCTGTCACAGCATAAATTTACACCTCTTGTGTGTTGTCACATTGTATACCACTGCATGCAAAAGCATAAAACAAAGTTGCTACACAGAGCTGGATGCTGTTTTTTTTATGTATGGGTCCTGAAATATTCACCTGATCCAGTATTTGCCGTATTTCTCTAATGTGGCAGCTCCACACATCTGAACAGCAAATAAATCAGCAGATAGAGACTCTGTAATTGGGCCGAGGGCTACTCTAAGATTCATACCCTTAAGTACTAACAGAAACTATTAAATTCACATTACTGGGGCACCCAGTCAGCTCGCCTGTGTAATTTCACATTACCTGGAGAGGGAAATCGCTGGTGCTGACATCCACAAAAGACTGACAGTAATGAGGGTCCATGTAAATCAAGCTGTCATCTGCAAGGACAAAACAAAAGACAAGTTATTCAAAAACATCAGATTATTACAAAAACGCACTTCCCTCCAATTTCTATGCAGAGTAGCTCAAAGTCACCCGCTCGGCCTATTGTTAGGCTTGTGTGCGTCAAATATGCCTCCCAGAAGGTTGTTGCTTTTTAATATCCACCAGGGTGGATTAAATTCTGCATAATCAGATGCGTTTGTTCACGCACATTCTCTACATGCACAAGAAAAAAAAAAAAGAGGCTGTCATTTAATTTTTGTGTGTGGGAATTACTTTTACAAACACGCAATTATATTGGAGCATTTACATATGATAAATGCAGAGTGGAGCTGCGCGCTGGCAGGGAGAATGTATTGCTTGTCATTTAGACATCATCCACCACTGTATTTCAAATTGGCAAAAATGTAAATGCGTAAATATTGACTGCCAAGATGTACAACTGAAGGTTCCTCCTGGCTCCTGAAGGTGATGAAGAGTGGCTCACTTTGGGGCCAGGATGAAATTTAATGCATGCCTCCTATGGAAATCAATTACTGCTCACAACTTGGGAGGTTTACTTGTGATAAATGGGCGAGGCTTTGATGGGTCAGAGAGAATAAAGTAAGCCCTGCTTCACTTGCCTCCATCTCCACTCCTCTCCGTTTTCCTCACGCAAACAGGAATACATTAACTTACTTTGTCTCTCCTCATAAGAAGGGTACATTATGCAAAACAATCTACTATTCTCTCTCTCTCTCTCTCTCTCTGTGTCTTTCTCTGTTTTGCATAAAGCTAACACTAACCTTGAAATCCCACAAAGTAGCAGGCCTGTTTGGGCTTTCCTCCGATGATGCCAATGCAGTCCTCTAGACTCAGTATGCTCTGAAAGCAGAAAAATACAAAGACGACACTTGAATTTCTCATTTCATATTTTTTTCCCCTACAGTGACTACTTTGTGATCAAACACCAAAAGGTCAATCAAAGCGCCTCTCACTTTAGTGAAGTTGAAATAGTCAGGGTTGGTCTTCTCCCCTCCCAGCCGCACGGGGATGAGGATGATGACGGCTCGGCTGGATGAAGGCGCGGGCCGCTCGCTCTGCGGGGAAGCGGAGGTCTGCCCTGCTCCCGGTGCCCTGTGGCTGTCGATGACATCAGCACTGTACACTGTGGAGGATCAATACTTCAGAGGTCAGACATGGGTCAATCTGTCTGTATCCACGTTTGCCCTGTTTAGATGTCAATCAGCCCTTTTTTTTGTGCAGCACACTTTCAGTCCTGTGTCTTTGTCGTTTTTGCATTTAAAAGACAAACGCTTTCTTTTTTTAAATGATGAATTGTGTATTGTTGTTTTCTTGTTGCATCGTTTTACTTTGTAAAGCACTCTGGTTGTTTCTTAAATAAAGAAGACTTGACTAACTGCGAACAGTCCGACTCCATTTAGTTTTACCCGATGCAATAACAACAAAGATATTGCATTCTATTTAAATTTATGCACGTCAGTTCACGTTTGTTTCTTGAATCCTAAATGAAACTTCATCTTGAAATATTTCACAAATCTTCTAAAGACAAGAGAAACACATTATCTACATGTTTTTTTTTATTTAGTGGATTAATGTTTTGAACAGGTTTGAAAAATCATTCATCCCTCTGTCTGTAAAATCTTTAAATAGTGTCAAATAAGGCGGGAAACGCACTCGGACTGTGATTTATCTGCACTTAGGCACAGGTATTTTAAGAGCCTGATGATATTCATCTTTCAGTGTTTTATGTTTAATGTGAATGTTGTTGAATGTTTTCTTTGGCTGTAGCATGGTTGAGGAGCCCAGGACAATTTCCTCACCTTGTGGGACGAATACAAATAATCTTGATTCTTTTTCTCGTATTGATTAAAGATATTGTTTGAATTAACCATGATTTCACTTCATGTTAATTCTATTTGGTTGAAAGTAGTAATTATTTGAATCATGAGTGTATCTGTCTAACTTTAACAACGTATCTTTTAATCAGTGTATCTCATATCTCATGAAGAGTCACCATTTCTTCTGATCTGAGGCCGTATATCTAAATAATACAACCAAACGTTCAAGACCAAAAGACTTTCTTTTGAGAAAATAAAACACAAAAGCAGCAAGTTGTTACATTTTAAGAAACATGAAACGATCAATAGTTTTATTTTTTAACTTTTCTCACTGACTTTTATTTGAAACACACTACAAACCGGCGAGACACTGTGGCTCTCAAAGCTGCTTTTTCCTCTAAGACAAATGCCTCAAACACCAAGTTATGTGGTTTAGGAAAAGTTTGGAGTGGGCTGTTATGGGTTTTTATAGAGGATGGGTTTGTTGGGGAACAGACACAGAGTGTCCCTGTCAGCTCAGAGTCTCCCAGCAGCAGAACGATGGTGGAAAAAAAGAAAAGGTCAGTTTGGGCGATGTGCCCAAGATCCTGTTTTATCAACAACAGGCTCATCTTTCATACCTGTGCAGTCCTGGGAGACGTAAGCAGTTATACCCGCCAAGCCAGGGTCCATCGCTTCCTCGACAGCTTTCCTAAGAGAGAAACAGAGGAGAGAAGAGAGGAAGGAGTAAAGAGAGTTAGTGCTTTCAAGTGTACAGGCAGAGAGTATGCTACAGAGGCAGCAGGCCTGTATACAGTATGTCACCTTTAAACTAAACACACTGTTTATAGTGATTCAACATTTAGTTACATATTTAATTGTTCAAAGACATTTCATGTGCACACTTGAATGAGGGGGATGCTGGAAATCCTCACATTGCCATGGAAACACATATCACTGGAATAGATGGTCTGATACAGTTTTTTGTCCTGATGCCAACATTTCATAAGAAGACGAGCGTTGCTGATACCTTGTGATAAATACGGTGTATTATCAAGTAGCTGTAGGCTGTAATACTAACCCTATAATGAAATATAATGTGATACGATTGCTGTCGTTGCTGTTCGAGCTGAATCAGTAAACTAAAGGAGTCCTAACCTAGCTCAGCGGCTAGATAGAAGCTAAGCTAACATTAGCCGCGGCTGGACTCAGACCTCCTCACGTCTCGAGTCTGTAAGGGAGTGTTAGAGAAACGCTCATATGACAGGAAACTTCTATACATAATATTTTTTTTTACTGTTTTAATAACCAAACCTGAAGTTAGTTTTGTCCGCCGCTTGCGCCTAATTGTGCTTCATTATGGTGGGTTCTAATTGATAACTCCTTTTAAGCGGACGCCAGAGGAGAGGGGGGGTTGGAGGTGTGCCGCTGAAGCAGAGGTATCGATCAAACAGCAGCTTGTTTTGGTTTCATGCCGGGTGCTCAAGGGCGACATCTACTGGATCAAAAAGTTGCACATTCTTCTTTTAAACTCATTTAACAAGCAAGAACAACAAGCACTGGTTGTTATAAATGTTGGCTTGCCTCATGTCAGATTTCACTCATTGTTAATGACTCATCAAATTATTTTATCAGTCAAAAAAAACGTGTGATTAATCATTTAACAAAAATCATTCTTGTTTGATTTACTCTTAAACTGTACTTGGAGGACTTACTTGAGGATGTGTGCCACCACAGCGGGACCATACCAGTCCCCTGCCTGTTTCCCCATCGCCAGACCCAGGCGGACCAGCCGGTGGAGGCCTAACTGAGCTGAGGGGCTGTCCCCAAGCCAGGATACCAGAGTGCGGTGGTACATCTCCTTCAAATGTTCATCCGCCTCCTCTGCAGATCCCGGCGCCTGGGCTTGGTGCAGATGTGGTGCTCCTTGATAGGAGGGCCTGTTGGGGCCTTGCAGAGAGGACACCAGACGCTTGGCTTTGGTGGCAGTCCAGGTTTCTGTGTCTAAAGGTTGGAGTGTCAGAGCGTCCGACCAGGTCCAGTCTGCAGAGGAGTAAATAATGCACGAAACATTGCAGCTCCAGTCAACATCAGAGACCATAAAACACCATTTAAAACAACCTGAGGATACACAAACAACAACACATCTCGTGCTTTTTGGGCACTGCTTGGCAAAATATGGGAATAATTACGCTTGGGGATCAAGTAAGAAATCCCCAATCAATACAACCAAAGGTTAGTCAATTCAAGTTTGACATGATAATGTAATCCTGAATACTAATAAGGGCTGCTCAATTAATGCAAATATTATTATCACCGTTATTTTGAACATCTACATCACATGGATTTGTCAAACTATCACTCTCTGAACACTTTGAAAAACAAGCAATAAATGAAAATAAGTTAAAAAATGTAAACATATAAAAATAATAATGTATATCAAGAACATCCACTATCTTTTTGAGGTAGTGGTGATGTTCTCTTGTGGTCCAAATGTAACAACAAACGAGCGCGTCACAGCCTGCAGCACAAAAATTGTGAAATCTCGTTTATCTTCTTTTCATGATTGTGGGAAGAAAAATATAATTGAAACTCAAAATCGATTCATTTCCTAATACTAACACTACTCATTAGAAACGTGCTCAATCTCCATCCATCCATCTATACTGATGGCTGGAGCTCCCAGCTGTCATTGGAAGAGAGGCGGGGTACATCCTGGTCTGCTCACCAGTCAATCACAGGGCTGACATTCAGAGACTGACAACCACCCACACTCACATTCATTCTCTAATTAACCCGACGAGCATGTCTTTGGACTGCGGGAGGAAGCCGGAGTACCCGGAAAGAACTAAAAAAAAAAAAATGCATGGGGAGAACATGCAAACTCCACACTGTCTGACAGGGAATCGAACCAGGAACCTCCTGGCTGTGAGGCGACAAAGCTAACCACAGTGCTGCCCCGTGCTCAATCTCTTAAAACGACTTAGAAAAAGAAGCCAAGAAGACACACTCTTAAGAACTAAACTCGTGACTTGTGGAGGGGAGATTAAAGGAAAACTACTGAAATGAAATGAAAGAAATAGGAAACCAAAAGTCACATGACAACACAGAATAAAAAAAATAAACAATCCCTACATCATCATACTTCTAGTGCTAGAAAAGCTGACAGCTTTTTAAACCCGACAGCAGTAATAGAGTGTGACTTAAGGCACATATTTGAGCGGAGGACTATGAAATTCTTCGAAGCTCATCATTCACTTCATCAAGTTCCTTTAAGAGCGTCGGCACTGACAACACAACGTCTTTCAGAACTTGTGAAATTCAGGATTTTTTGGACCATGTGCACTTCATTAACAGAATAAGTGTCAGTACGTTCAATTATAAGTCTGAGTGTCCCAATATTTCACTTTAACGCGCCTTAGCCTTACAAACAGGGTGGGAGCTGCAGGCAGAGAGTGAGGGAGTGGCCTGGCTATAAAACCAGCCAGATTGGAGTGTAGGCCATTAACAAAATGACCTTGATATGAAGTGAATCAGAGTGAAATTGATCAATAAATATCCTTTAGTGACCATTAGGCATTTTATAGAAATATTTCATCAGTGACATCTTTTAGATTTGACAGAAGAACACGTTTTAAATATTGTTTTCTAAATGGCTGCATTAAACCGGCACTCTTCTCATTATTGTAGAGCCATAAAGACTCGGGCACTTTACAGACAATAGACCTGACCAAGAAATGGGGAATTCGCTCATTTGATCAAACTCCTTGCATCAACTAAATTCAACTTTCTAAAGGTGGGGAATGAGAAATCTGTCATGACTCAGTTGCAGTGGATTTTCCGACATCACCTGACCCCATCAAACCTTTACTTTACCTGATGTTCAAACGGTCCCCCGGGTGTTGAGTCCCGTTAAATATTGCTGATGAAACCGCTTTTTACATCACAAACAGCAGTTCCAAAAATGAACATCCTGGAACTGCAGAGTTAATTTTAGGAGATCTTTTTAAATGGTCTGCAGCATCAGCAGCCTCCCGTCTCTCAGACAAAGCCACTGATACACACGATGGAAATCAAATATGAACCTGTTCATACTTTTACAAAAGCCTGGGAACCAGACAAATCTACAAGCTCATGCTGAACTGTAGCCACCAAAAGCACCTGAGACTTTTAGTCCCAGGAGCTACATTTTAGGGGTTTAAATTCTCTTCTAGGCTGTTATGTAAGCGACCTATGAAGGAAGGCCAACCAAGTCGGATTTACAGAGGTTTCGCCATTTCTGTTCATTTTGAGCAAAACATATTCAATAATAACAAAAGTATCACAGCTGCATAACTATCTCATCTAATGCACGTTCTCCTGCTTTAAATACTTAACTTACGACTGTAAAATGATGAAATTAATTGCCACTATTTTCACAGAGCACTGTTCAAATTAGGACTGCATTGTGGCGCAGTGGTTAGCGAGGAGGGTTCCTGGTTCAAATCCCCGTCAGACAGGAGCCTCTCTGTGTGGAGTTTGCAGAATTCTCACAGTGCATGCGTGTGGGTTCTACTTCCTCCCACAGTCCAAAGGCATTCTTGTTGGGGACCCATTTGTGAATGTGAGTGTGGCTGGTTGTCTGTCCTGAATGTCAGCCCTGTGATTGACTGGTGACCCCCGCCTCTCGCCCAATGACAGCTGGGGTCGGCGCCAGCCCCTCCCACAACCCCCGAAAGGATAAGCGGTATAGGTAATGTATGGTATGGAATTTTTTTATAAAGTTAAAGTGTAATTTGAACAGGCTGGCCCACGATGACTGCACTACCGTACTTGATTAAATCAACCATATCTTTAATTTAAAACAACAAACGTGACAATGAACAACTTTTAGAACTCATGTAAACTGTCTCACTTGCTGCTAAAACATTAAATCGATGTTTCTGTCTGTCTTACCGTTGTTTTAATGAATCAATATCTAACGGTAGGTAAGACTACCTGCCCTCCAGTCCCTAGGAAAGTTCCTGAGGGGAAAATTCAGCGTGTCATAACTTCCTTATCTAAAAAGCGAAAAAAGCTGTGGGCATAGTTTAGGCATTTCAATCACTTTGAAAATCTTCTCAGCATCCAGTTTTATCTTTTAAATGTTCCTTACCGCTCATTTGGAGAAAACGACTACAACTATGAACTGAGAAACTCTTTTTGGCGCCGTCGTCTGTCTACACTTCTCATGTGTACTTCTATCTCATTGAACAGAGTCTAAAGGTAACTCCAACTATTCCTCTTACCTCGACCAAGGAAGTGCAGCACGAGAGCCTGAGCCAGCATCATCTGCCCGGCTCTCAGCATGCAGCCCCAGCCGCAGTCGGAGGTCAGGGTGGAGCCGGGCAGCGTGGGGAACTCCTCCCTGTAGGTGAGCCACACACGGGATGTAAAATCTTTGCGGAAATCCTCAACGTTCCCCATGATAGAATCCTCTTCTGTAGTTTCATAGCAGGCTTCTGTGGGACTGTCGTCATCTGAGGAGAACACGTGGCATGGTACACTCAAGATTTTCAATTCACATTTTTCCTCACCTATGTCTAGCCTTTGTATGTGCATGTATTGCAGCCAGTTAGTATTTTAATAAAACTGTTGTGTGTTTTCTGAACAAAGCCGTTCCGGGCAAGATTCCCATCAACTTATCCTTACTCTGAATTTTGAAGGATTGAAATAACAACCTTCATTCTCTGGAGATTGTGTGATTTGTTATTCCTACAGTCTTGGCAGAATCGGGGAAAAAAGCTTTGCCAACTTCTTGGAACAAGCCACACGTACATCTTTAACTTTCCCCTCTTGAATTTAGATTTCCCGATCTTAATCGGACAAACCAGGATAAATGAAGGTGAAGAAAAGAAAAGCGAATAACTAAACTGTACCTTCCACCTTAAAGTGGTAACACTTTCCAAGAAGAAACACCGGGGAATTCCGACTGAACGAGGTCTTTAATTTCAGAGCCCAACCTAAAGAGACGCAACAAAAAGACAATATTTCACGGTCGATGGCTGAAAAGAAACAAACCTCCACAAGTCTGGGTCAGTTTCATGATCCCATTTTTTACAGTATTCAGTTCCTGTAACACAAAGCGCAAGGAAATAGCCATTGTGTTGTTTAGAAGTAAACACAAACAAGGGAGAAACTTCATCCTGGGTGACCTGATAAAACTACAATTCAGGGTGGACACAGTATGACAAAGACCTATTTTAAGGGCTGACTCAACAGCATATGGTTGATGTCTCATTGAGATGAGTTATGATGCCAGTTTCTTTTTTTTTTTAATTGTTATTGTTGTGCAGATGTGCAAATACCAATGTAAATTAAGTAGTAAATCACATTAAATCAAGAAAATAGGATGAAGGAGAAACACAGCACAGCATCAGAAACAGTGCACCAAATGACAAAAGCTTAATTGGCTGATGTGGTGTGTATGAGTATGAGCCTCGGGCATGTTACTTACTGTACTTCACATTGTGCCACGCTGACAAGAACTTTGTCTTCATTTTTTCCACCTCGTCGCTCCCTTTATTCTCCATTTAGGCCGGTAGGGGATGTAACCCATTCCCACACAGCTTGTAAACCCTGGAGAACACAGTAAACACACACAAGACCATACTAAACACCGTCAGCAGGGTCACTAAAAAATGTTACATAAAAAACACACAGATTGCAATACGAGCGTCGTTGCCTGTTATGCTCCCCGCTCACCGTCGCTCTTTAGCTCCGTGCAAAAAAATCAAACCCGCACATTGTGCATTAAAAAAAAAGAGTTTTAAACGAAGCAAGTGTAACATAACACTGTGCTGTGACTACCAATGTTTACACTGAAGAAGGAGAAGTGAAGTCATGTGATCTCGCGGTGAGTCCAAACGGGAGTAGGGGGAGGGGCCATGTCTCCGGGAGGCTCGATTTTGATATGAAAAGCAGTTCAGGCGGGCGGTGTTTAGACTGTTTGTCGAGTATTTACCATATGTGGCATAGAAAGTGCGCTTGTTTTTGGTTTATTCTGTCACAGAACAAGCGCATTCTGTTGTATTGAAGCAGGACGAAGAGTAAAAAGTCATCACGTGTGGCTCATTTTCACCTGTAAATTTCTGCTCCTTTAGGTGTGTTTCAATTTATTTTACTTTTAACAAGTTCCTCTTTTCTATAATTCACCTTTTCAAACAAGTTTTAAATGTGTCAGAATTTAACCAATTAAATAACAATCATACATATAATTGAAAAGATAAGCTGTTTGTTGCTATTTGCAGGTATGCACTGAACAGTACAACTATAGTATAATATAATTAGTGTGCATAGGATAATAGATAGAAGAACAGTTATAGATATAGAGTACAAGAATATATATAATCCATAAACACACTACATAAAAGATAAAACATTAACTCAATAATACAGCAGCATTTTTTTTGGGGGGGGGGATTACTTCTATAACTACAATGAAAAATCTATTTTTCACACCGCACAAAAGCAACAGATTATCCACGAAACTGTTATTAAATTGTAAGCAAGTGTTCAAAACTTGAATAAAATGATCAGAACAGAAAAACAAATGACTACAAACAAAATGTGCTGAAACAGCCGAACATAGATTTGACATAATCGACTATTACATTTGCATAGTTATTCCATAATAATAAATAATAAATAATAATAATAATAAAATAATAATAAAATGTGTTTTAAAACAATACATACCTCCAGATACGGTTGTGTGCATTTCAAATCAAAATGTATAAACATCTAAATTGGTGTATAGGGAGTGTTGTCTTCTGCTAAAAAATGATACATGGTGCCCAGTTTCTACACTCTTTACGGGTAATAACTATTGTCCCTGCTCCAGAATGTTTTCAACATTAATTAATTTTGATAAATTACGTTATCACAGATGACTATCTTTAGTTTACACTGCCCTGCTGTCTCTTGGACCCAGTTTGGTTCCACTTCGTACAGTACACAGGGTCTGTGTTTTTATCGGGTGTGTGGCTGTTGCGCACCATTACGATCGTTACGGTAATGATTCCATAGACTGTTTTTCCCATAGACTGTTTTTCCCACTGCACAAAAGCAACACATTATCCACGAAACTGTTATTAATTGTAAGGAAGTGTTCAAAACTTGAATAAAATGATCAGAACAAATGACTACAAACAAAATGTACTGAAACAGCATAACATAGATTTGACATAATCGACTGTTACATTTGCATAGTTATTCCAGTTCTGAAAATGGAAAAAATAAAAGTCTAGAAATTCAGATTTGTGTTAATAAAATGTGTTTTAAAACGATACCATTGTGTGCATTTAAAATCTTCGGGTTTAAATCAAAAATGTATAAACATCTAAATTGGTGTACAGGGAGAGTTGTCTTCTGCTGAAAAAAATATATACATGCCCGGTTTCTTACATAATTTACGGGTAATAACAATGTGGAAAGGAACATTGCCCCTGCTCCAGAATGTTTTCAACATTAATTAATTTTGATTACCTTTAGTTTACACTACCCTGCTGTCTCTTGGACCCAGTTTTGGTTCCACTTTGTACAGCAAACACAGGGTCTGTTTTTTTTAATTTTTTTTATTGGGTGTGTTCTGTTGCGCAGCATTACGATCGTTACGGTACTGATTCCATTCTCCCGTTTTCCCCGTCTTCCCTGTGGCCGCAGTGAAGTGAGTGGAAAGCGGAGTCTCGCCTGCAGCCTGCCTGCCTGCCTGGGAATCCCGTTAAACCACACCAGCGGCCACTGCCATGGCTGAACGCCGCGCTTTCGCCCAAAAAATCAGCAGGTAAAGATTCTGAATGCCTTAAAATGAGCTCGTAGAAGGACACACGGAGGAGGAGGAGGAGGAGGAGGGAGGGGAGAGAGAGGGGGGGGGTCGCTCTTTACAGCAGGAGGCCTGGCTGCTACATGCTAACCGCTTGTTAGCCATAAAAGATGCTCAGACCCACCCAGCCAGACAGCGACACTCCTAGCTGCTTGTCTATTCCTCACGCTGAATACCAAAAAAAAAAAGAAGCTTGATGTTAATTTATAAAAGCGTCCTAAGCGAAAACAGCTTTTATGTTCCTGTATTTATCAGCACTGTTAAAAGATTAAGCATTAATTCAGGAGAGTTAGCCCCTTCAGTAGCTAACCAGAGGCTGCTAACATCCCCCCCCGCCCTCCCCTCTCTTGGTAGAGATGAGACTGAACTTTGCAGAGTTATGTTTTAAAGATAGAGAGATAATTATAGTACAGCAAGACTGTGAATTAAAAGCCTTCCACTACAGCTATCAAACAGCGACGTTATAATCTCCTTTACGCCCCTCAGACGGATCAAAGTAATCTCTTTAACAAAGGGCTTTGTGCTAGCTGTCAAATACCATCATCCCAGCCGGTGAACCATTTAAACACAAGATAAATAGATAGACATTGTTGAGGATGGACTGCTGCTGTTTGCCACAACTTAAACAACCAAGAATTGATTGCTGGTCACTTCATTGACAGTCAATTGTCCTTTATAGCAATTATTGTAATTATCAAAAACAATAATATAACATGTGTATGTGCCTGCTTGTCTCTTATACATGTATGAAATAACATTCAACATCCTCATTTTACAGATATTATAATTATTATTTTTTTTTGTTTGCATTTTCTATCCAAAAATAAGACTATTATAAAAGAACCTTGCTTATGTTTAGTTTAGTTTAATGGTTTATTTGAATCAGGGACAGTGTACAAAAAAAAAAAAAAACATTAGTCTCAGAAGAGAAGAGATGCTTTGTACCAGATTTAGCAAGTTAGCTAATTTCCATCTGTTGTCCCTGGGCAGATGATGGCAACAGCAAAATACAAATCAACCAGTCACACACACACACACACACACACACACACACACACACACACACATTTTTCACAATTTCACAAGAGAGAAAAAAGACATAGAACAATTTCCCTGAGAGATCTAAAAGGTTGTCGAGATGACACATTAATGCTGACAAGACTGGTTCCTTAAAATCAATTTTTTTTGACTCCCCGGGTGAAAGTGCAGAAGTTTGTGCAAAGTTTAAGACTAGTTGGAAGACTATTCCGTTCTTTAACGGCTTTAAAAGAAAAAAAACAAACAGATTGTGCTAAAGCGGAGCCACGTTTAGGTATACTCCATACTCCAATGTCCATTTTTTTCTGTCTGTTAATCTGGTTTAGGTTGTGAAACAGAAGCTGCTCAATACAAGCTTGTACGTGTAAATGCTGCAGGAGTGTGTGTCCATGTGAAAGCATTAACGGAAAACCACATCCCAAGTGTTGAAACGTAAACGTTGGCAAGATCAGACATTAGCATCTATGTGATACGTTTCAATTAAACACATCACAAAAGACTGCCTAAAATTTTGAGGATAAGAACAAGTACACACCCATCATGTGAACATTTGTCCTATCAGACAGAGCTGCTAAATACATCGGCCATGCTGTCATTTAATCTGGACAATAATGAAGCCCCAGCTAGTTTTCGGCTACCCCTAGATCATTTAGAGATTACTACTGCCATCTATAATGTCAATATGAAAAACTAGGGGCTTTACAATTCAAGATTCAGACGAGGTAAGAACATTTAGACACTGTTTAAAAAAAAATAAACACTATAACTTTAGGAAATGTACATTTATGGCTAGACTACCTTCTACCTTCTCTAATATTGTGTCCACTAAGTAGATTTGGGGAGTTGGCATATCGCTGAAACTTCCCTAAATATTTAGAGGTTTTTCTCGCTCTTTTTGTTGTTGTTGTTCTAGTAGACGTTAACAAAGATCGTGCCAAAGCACCGAAAAGGCCCCAGTAATGCGTCTGTTTCAGCATTCTGACTGTTAGAAAAAGTAGTTTGCTCATGTCGCACGTTCAGTGACTAAAATTGCCAGTGGCTTTGCCCAGTAGGGTACATTTCATGCTCCAGTAAAACAGTTTCTTATATTTGGTACCCAATTCCCGTAAGCTTATATAATTGTTTTGAGGTGTTTACAATCATGATGAGATGGAAACAAAACATGTTTGCTGAATTGAGTTCTTCCTCTGTGCGGTGTCCAGTGCAAAGTATAGGTTGGATTAGAGGGAGTAAGGAGGACTGAGGAATGTGTTTGTTGGTTCAGTGCGTCTGCCTTTCTCCAGTCGTGACAACACTGCTCTGCCAAGGCCACTGGATCCCCACAACACAGTACAATATCATGTTATTTTAACCTGGCAACTTGGACCATGCAACTTTCATTTTGCCTTCCTGCTTAGTATTATATCCTTAAACCCTTCTTTATTTTGCAACCTGGCCCCAGGCTTTAGGATCCTTTTGTTTTGTTTGTGTACAGTTGTGTATGTGATGTAACAGCGATGATGAACTCAGCACTTTAGTGGCTTTGGGGAAGCCAGAATTCATTTAGAGGTTTGTGGTTCTGGGATCTCGCTGACTGGGTCCCTCCTAATCCTTGATTATTACTGTAATCATGTCCAAAAGTTTAAAATCACTTTTAAAGTGTTTTTTTTGTACGTGATATTGGTTTAGAGCAGAACTACAAAGCCGTTTGGTTATGAAGGAAAGTGTTGTGTAAAAACATTATTGTTGGCCCTTTGTAACCTGTGTGATATAACCTTGAGTCTTTTTTTACTGTCTAGCCTTCGTCCTTGGTTCTAATTTGTTGTGTGTGTGTCACTTTGGGCAACTTGCTGCGTTGTTGTTTTGTTCAAGGAAAAGGGTCTGTGAGTTGTGTTGGTGGTTGATCTGATTTAAAGGAGCTGTGTATGTGTGTGTATGGGAATAGCAGCAGTTAAGAAGATTAGTGCTGACCATTGGGATCCACAGGTTTTTATTTCTTTCCGTTTTGTCTAGCTGCCATAAATGATGGTGTCTGAGACGACTACGCTGGGCTATGAGCAGAGACCTAAAGAGAAAATCCTTAACTGTCAGGAGGTGTTAACTTTACTTTGACAGCTCAGGGCAAAGCAAATATCCAACAATACATTACATATCCATCAATACATGCAGTACATACAGACTATAAGCCACTGTTTTCAAACATTGCTGTCCCTTATTATCTCCAGGCAAAACAGGTCAATACTAAGAAGTCAGGTATGTTTAGTTGCTGAGAACAGGAATCCTTCCTCTAGCTCTTCAAGTCGACAGATTTGAAATCGTCCCAGAGGAATACGGACGGTGTGAACTGTGTGATTTAGGAGAAGTGGAGAATGAATCTCATTTTCTTTAGTATTTTCCTTTTCATGATGAGTTAAGAACACCTTTTGATTAGTGAAATGTACGCTCAGAAATCTGAAATGTTTTGAGCACTGATGATTGAACAGTTGTTTAATTTCAGTGTTTATGAGCTCGCCACGTTTGTCTCTAAAGCCTGGAAGAAACGCCAGGATGATTGATTTTGTTAGTGTTATTATTGTTAATGCTTTTGGTTTGTGTGTAATAATATTTGTGTCTTATGAGCCTGTTTTGAGCTGCACATATAGTTTACGCATGACACAATAATCAATCATTCAAACTGGAAAAGGTGTTGCAGTTTATTGGTCTTTTTTTGTTTCATTACCACAGTAACAAATCTGAATAGTACTGTTAATCAGTTATTATTACTATAAAGTAAACTGGCATGTTTGCTGCTAGTCATGAAGTTAAGATAATTTGTTAAACTGTAATTGCTGGACTTTGGGCAGTTGCATCAGTGTTGCTGTTTTCAATCTGAGATTTTGTTGGCCCTTGTCATGGTCATTTTCTTCTTCAATTATGCAATATAGACCTGTTGTAGAATATTGCCTCTGGTATTGAATTTAAAGTATCACGGCTAAATGTATTCAGTACTGGTATTATACTGTGATTCTGTCATTGTGTACAAATATTGTTATAACATTGTTTTGCTACTTTGTCTCTTCGTAGCCCAAGTTATAAGCTAACTCTGTGTAGTTTGTGGTTGGACGTTTACATTTGGAGTGGACTGTACTTACTCTCCTTCTTCCTCCCTCCACTTCTCTCTGCAGGACTGTGGCAGCAGAGGTCAGGAAGCAGATAGCAGGCCAGTATGGGGGCTCACCACAACTCTTCAAGAACATCAATGCAGGGACCACAACAACTAACACAGTGAGTAGTCTCAAGGATCGTTGAGAGACCAGAACATCATCATCATCATGAGACTTATTTCCAATGCAATGTCCAGCTCAGCTCAACTCAACTCAACTCAATGAGCCTTACTTTTGGTTTCATGGATTTTACTGCAGAAAGCAGGATTCTTTTCATGTCCTCATTAAGCATTAAGCTGCTCTTACATCATCTTCAGCACAACAGACTCTGGCTTTGCACCTTGTCAACTGAGATGGGTGTGTTTTTTGGGGCAGAATAAGAATAGCTCAGTCACTTCAACAGCTTGAATGTTGGACGTTGCAAATTTATACAGAATGTCTTCTGCCCCTCAAGTGATGAATCTAATCTCAATCAGGCTGAAAATGTATCGTTTACCGTCGCAATTGTGATGTGTGCATGCTCAATAGTCAAATCTCAGGACTTGTAAAGTAATTCAAGTGACTTGAAGCACTTTAATCTGTTTGTTTTGGCTCCCATTTTCCTTGTTTCATTGACTAATCTACGACTAAAGTCTGTCTGATGTCACCATCAGTAGTCAGAGAACTGACCACTGTGCTTGCAGAGTCTTGTGTCTCCTGCATGTAAAATTGTACATGCTACAGACAACGCTGCTGCCATCAGATATACCAGCATGATGCTCAAAGCAGATGGTCGATCACCGATTTGAAGCTAGTGTATTCAAGCTATCCACAGCAGCTCGTACTTAATGCTCTGGCCACATAAACAGACTGTTAACAGAATGGATGTGCCGTTGATTGTTTACTTTTAGCGGCTTAGTATCATCTGTACTTTTTCTTTTTGTCTTACAAGCCTTGACCAATGTTTAAGCAAGTTTGTGTTTCGTTGTTGTTTGTTGAGTTTGTGTTTATTTGAAAGGCTGCCTATGTTTCTTTAAATACCAGGATGGATAACCATTAAATGTCCTGCAGACCACAAGTTGAATCAATAAAATCAATCAATCTTTATTTGTATACCGTCAACTCATAACAAGTGTTTTCTCGAGACACTTTACAAAAAGCAGGTAAAAGACCTTACTTATTGCTATATTACAAAGACCCGGCCTATCCATCATGAGCACTTTAGCAAAGCAGCAAAAGTTACAGTGGTGAGAAAAATCTGCCTTATTAAAAGGCAGAAATCTTCGGCCGGATCCCCGGCTCATGATGAAGCAGCCTTCACAGGCCTAGACTGCGCCGGGGTTGGAAAGGGATAGGGGGAGAGATGGGATAAGATGCAAGTTGTATCTACTGCATTTACTCAAAGGTTTCAATTGTATGAAGCCACACAGTATGTTTGTTAAATGGATAGTGTGAATTGTCCATCACCAGCCCTGAGCCAGATCAACAGTAAATATCCCCCCTCTACTCTACTTAATTAGACTACAGCTGGCTTTTAATTAAACTGTGAAAGGTATTTGTGTTCAAAATCCTCAGGAGGGTAAGACAGAGAAAAAGGCACACATCCACACTCACTCACAAACTGAAGCGACTGAAACAAAATGTTTCCCCTGGGTTTATCATTATGGGAGCAGTCTAAGACCCGTAAAACCATTAGTCAAAGCTTGAAGTAGCACACTTGCTAATCTGGTTATGGCTACCATCTTCAGGGAAACTTAAGGCGTTAGCCCAAATCACAGATGAAGCTTTCTTAGAACTGATTTCCTTGTTAGGAATAGCAGATGACGCATAAGCTAGAACGGCTTTCTCTCACAGAAATAACAGATGTGACCTCGTATTTCGGACCTGTTGGTGTTTTTGTGGTGCACATTTGCAGAGTGACTGACAAGCTGGGGGAATCTGTCCCCAGTAGCTTTTGCCAAAAACGGAGACAATCTCAAGATGTTTATTTTAGACTAAGAAATTACATTTGATGTAGGCAGGAGAACTGAGACGCTGACTTGTGTCGCCACAGTGAATTAACTTCTCCCATTCCTCACATCACCCCTCAGGTTCCCCTCACAGAGGCGGTGGAGCCGGTGGATTTTGAGGAGTACCTCATCACTCACCCTCCCATCGTTGAGTCAGGCCCCCTGAGAGATCTGATTGAGTTTCCTCCTGATGATATTGAGGTCATCTACACACCCAGGGAGTGTCGCACAGTGGCACAAGCAGTCCCAGAAGAAGGGTAAGATTTGAAATACTGGTTGAATCTGGTGGAGAGTTGTGTACAGTCACACTCCATATTTCTGTGATTGATTTTTCTCATTAGAACATTTTGAGTTTTGTGCCGGACCAGGAGCACCTTACAAGTGTTTATAAAGTGTGTCAGTCATAAAATGTGGATAAAAAAAGCTTTTTAATGGGTTCTTTCCATGTATTCTTCTTTCCAATCCTCTTTTACCAAATCATTACATGTACTCACATTATTTGAAATAAGAGCATTATAAATTAACTTTTTAACAAACCAAAGAAATTATAGTATAGAGATGTATTAAGAAAATGTATGAAAAATATCGTTATCACAAGGGGAAAAATAGATAAAATAGATATATATGAAATTGACAGTACTTTTCCAAATTGTACATTGAAATGGAATTTTCAAATGAGTGCACGAGCACTTTTATTTTTAGAAATTGGTTTGATTGACAATTTCCAGCTCTATCATCAGTACCCTATCAGGCTCTGCAAACTATACTTTTATCTTACTTGCTGCATTGTACTAGATACTGAACACAGGAGATATCTGTGCTTATTATATCAAACTGTAATTCCCTTTTTGCTTTGAAGGTTCTGTTGACTTAAAAAAAAAAAAGGCAAAGTTGTTTCAATTAGTCATTTCACTTCTTTGAGATAAAGCAGAATCTTAATGTGGCGTGTTGTAATACTTTATTATTCCTGTTTTTAATGATCATAATTAAAGCTGCACAACATATGTAAACATCATAGACCTCTGGGCTTAGTGTTATAACTCTCTAGCTCTGATCATTGGTATTTCAGACCAGACGCTTCACTGTGTGATGTGCCAGAAAAGTGGAAAGACATCAGTCTAGTAGCCTGTCATCTTTATTCACTGAGACAAATTCATTTTTAAGCCTGACTCTTGCGATATGAATAAAGCTTGTTTGATTGATGGGGCTTTTCTGTCTGCAGGGACACTGATGCTCATGTTAGAGACTGTGTCAGATCCTACACTGAAGACTGGGCCATCGTCAACAGAAAGTAAGTGTTTGGAATTCTTCACGTTTGTATCAGCTCATTTGTTAACTCTTTAGAATAATAAATATATCTTTAAACGATTAGACAATAGACACATGTTGTGCATTAGTATTTAGTTCATAAAAGTGTCCTTCATAACTGTTTGCTCTCATAGATACCACAAGCTTGGCACAGGCTTTAACCCCAACACTCTGGACAAGCAGAAGGAACGTCAGAAAGGCCTGCCCAAACAAGTGTTTGAGGCAGATGAGATGCCAGAGAACAGCAGCTACCAGGATGACCAGGTACTAAATCCTTCATTAGTAAAAACATTTTTTAAATGTGCAAATATTCATTTCTGCATATATTTTTATACGAGCTAACAAAAATGCTGCACTGTTTGTGTGAAACAAATGTATTTTGTGGATTTTGACTTGTAGGATGACCTGAAGCGACGGTCGATGTCTATAGATGACACCCCACGTGGCAGCTGGGCCTGCAGCATCTTTGACTTGAAGAACTCCCTCCCCGATGCGCTCCTCCCTCACCTCCTCGACCGCGCCCCAAATGAGGAGATTGACAGACACAACGAAGAGCTGCGCAAGGCCAACCGCCACAGAGAACTCTTTGCTTTGCACCCGGCCCTTGACGAGGTAGAGTTTACTCTCTTCACCGTGCCAGACCTTTATTTTCTGCAAGACATCATAAAACATTCACCTCACATTTTGTATTATTTAGTAATAAAATGTGTTAGCCTAAGTCTAAGGAAACCAGTGAGCTCAGCTTTTGTGTTTCAAATCAGTCCAAGGATGTCAGTATTTTGTCTTCAATGAATACGTTTAGATAATTATTTTTAACGCAGCCGTGGCACACAATAATTCCCCTCTCTTTTTGAGTTTGACCAAATATTTGCATGAACTTCTGTGACTGTGCAGGAGGAGCCCATTGAGCGCCACTGTGTGCCTGAAGTACCGAAAGAACACTTTGGCCAGAGGCTACTCGTCAAGTGCTTGTCCTTGAAGTAAGTGGTGGGCAGCCTTTTTCAGAAAAAAAAAAGCCTTTTAGCTCTTTTATTTTACTGCTGCATTCTGCTGACCCTCTCCTTTTTTTTTTCCTTTCCCCTTGAAGGTTCGAGATCGAAATTGAACCCATATTTGCTAGTTTGGCCTTATACGATGTCAAGGAAAAGAAAAAGGTAAGCTGTTATGCTTTCCTCAGCCCTGAGTTGTTGGGTCACTTCTGCAAACCATTAAAATTGTTCGGAGGCCAAAACGAATTTGATGAGTGGACGATAAAATTTGATGTTGTGGACCTGTTATGCTTGTAGGAATGCTGGTAAATCACTGGGACTATGTATCTATTGGAAGAGGACCATTCACACCAAGTTCTTTCCCCTTTAGCTGACCAACACTAGAGGGTAGTAGTTGCCTTGATTAGAATCTGTCTCATTTACACAGTAACATTGCTCTGCACAGGAGCTCCGTTATTAATCTAGTGGGTCATTTATCAAATTAACACATTTTTAAGCCACCGTAAGCATCAGGTTGAAGTACAATTCATAATCACTCAATGGCTATTTTTGAATTCTTAAAGATATATGGAGAAGCCATTTTAGTACATTTCACTTTAATGGTATGAACACCTCTATTTCTGTCTTGATGTTCCCTTCAGATTTCAGAGACCTTTTTCTTCGACCTCAACTCCGAGCAGACGAAGGGGATGCTACGTCCGCACATTCAGACAGCAGCCATCTCCACGCTGGCCCGCTCTGCCATATTCTCCATCACCTACCCCTCCCAGGATGTCTTCCTTGTCATCAAGGTCAGACAGTTATGATATCGTTTCTCTTTTATTGTTGTTACTTAATTCGCTAACTGATAAATGAGTATTAGTACTATATTACCCAAAATGTTAATTCCTGGTGATGATTCAAAACCTTATCTGGGCAAAAAAAACCTTTTTGAAGACTTGTTGTGAACTAGTCTTGTTCAGTTGGGAACTCTTTTCTAATTATTTCATGGATCCTCAAAGTATAAGTAATAAACTCCTGGATTCGCCTTTGACACGTTTTGACACATCATTGTGTACTTAAAGGCTTGTGCAGGTTTTACCCTCAAAGACGATATAAAAAGATTTAAAGAATTGTCTAGCCTAAGAATAGTAGGCATTGTGCTGCTCTGTTGGTCCCTATTCTTCTGCTTCTTCCTGCATCTCCCTCTATCCCACTGTCCAAGCCCAGCACAGTATCAGCAGATGACTGTTCAACATGAGTCTGGTTCTGCTCGAGCTTTCTGCCTCTTAACAGAAGCTTTTCCTCGACACTGTAACTTCACTAAATTTTGTTTAATGCTCATAATGTATTAATGTTGGGTTTATGTAGATAATATAACATTGAGTAGGGTCTATTACCTGCTGTTCTTTAAAGTGTCTTGAGATAACATTTGTTATGAGTTGGTGCTGTATAAATACAGATGAATTGGCTTTGAACATATAACAGAATATTCTCTGTAGCAGCTAGGGATGGACTCTCCATCCCAACAAGAAACAAAAAACACTGAATGTTAGCTCATCTCAGCTTTATTTATATAGCTTAGAATTACATTGTACTTTTGAACATGGTTTCAGAAGAATGGAGAATGGTTAAATCCTCTCTGGGGTCTTTTTGTTGGCCAATTCCATCATTTCACATCATAGGCTTGTATTTTACAGACAGTCTGAGATCTGTATGTCTCTTTATCCTGTATGTGAGTGTGCTAACTGAGCGTGTGCTTTGTCCTCAGTTGGAGAAGGTACTGCAGCAAGGTGATATTGGAGAGTGTGCTGAGCCATACATGGTCTTCAAAGAGTCAGATGCTGCCAAGGTATGACCAAATAAGGTTTCATGGCTTGTCTCGGGTGTTATTCAAAAGTACATAAACATTAACATGTAGGGTGATCAGTATCATATAAGCCAAATCTTCACCTTTTATTCTAGAACTTTTTTCTTGACAATTCTACAGTTTTTATCCCTTAAATGTTGCACAGCCGTAGTATGTAAATAAGTTAATAAAGTGTTTTTCTTCTTGAAACCGCTAACTGGTGCAATTGTCTGTTTGTGTTACAGAATAAAGAGAAGTTGGAGAAACTTCGCAGCGGGTCAGAGCAGTTCTGCCAACGTCTTGGTCGATATCGCATGCCCTTTGCTTGGACCGCCATTCACCTGATGAACATTGTGAACAGCGCAGGAAGTCTTGAAAGAGATACTGAGCTGGAGATGAGCCTTTCAGGTTTGCCATTTCCTTTCAACACAGCCCCTTGCTTTGTGACTATAAAGATGCAATGTGCATGAAGTCATTAACAGACAGCACTCAGGCACAGAGAATCTCCCTCTATGTGTTTATGCCTCTACCTACTCACATTTAGTTTATCAGAGGACAAAGACTGTAGCATACATTCCCCAGTCACGCATGAGGCTCATGGGCCTGTCAAAACATAACCACATATCTTTATCTATAAGCAACTCTCAAACAAATATTAAGAAAGGCAAAGAATCCAGTCGTATTGATTCTTGTGTGTTATTTTGAGTTTGACCTTCGGTGTTTGAATAACCTTTAACCTTTCAGTACCCTTTGATGCTGAGTGTGACAGCTGCCTTTTTGTTGCTAGGCAGATCAGAGAAATGTTTGTATTTTCACAATCGACAGATAAAATAAAGATTAATGAATCTCAAACCAGTTGTAGCAAAAAATTGCTATATGCTGCCTATGAACAAAATTGGAGAGGACTATTTGTATTGATTTATTTTTGCCTATGTGCAGAGAGAAAGGGCTCATGGTCAGAACGGAGAAACTCAAGCATCATGGGAAGGCGTTCACTGGAGAGGACCACCAGTGGAGACGAGTCATGCAGTCTTACAGGCTTTAGACCTGCAACACTTACCATCACCAACTTCTTTAAACAGGTCTCTACAACCACATGAACTAAAAAGTGAACGTATCTTTTGGGATTCACACTTACACAATTTACTGAGGAATATGTCGTCTGCTTTGTCACTGCTCTCTCTCTGTAGTTTTTAATTACATGTTCGTATGCTCTACATTTGTGTTTTAGGAAGGAGACAGGCTGAGTGATGAGGATTTGTTTAAGTTCCTAGCTGATATGAGAAGACCTTCTTCAGTGCTGAGGAGACTCAGACCCATCACAGGTAAAGACATTTATTGAGAGTTTTTTACCTTTTATTCCCGATGGCAGTTGAGACCTGATGCTCATTTCGTATTTGCACCATGATTCCTGAAATACTTGAAAATTTAAATATTTTTTTTTTATACAAATATACAAATCACTATTTCTATTTCTTTACGTCCCTGAGCACACACTCACTCATTTCCCATTCTGTTCTTCTTGACTGTCACCACAGCCCAGTTGAAATTGGACATTTCTCCAGCTCCAGAGAACCCCCACTATTGCTTGACCCCTGACCTCCTGCAGGTTAAACCGTACCCAGACAGCAGAGTACGCCCAACCAGGGAGATCCTTGAATTCCCTGCCAGGGATGTCTACGTGCCAAACACCACATACAGGTAAAGGAAAAACGAAGTGTGGCTTTCTTCTCCTTAGGTTCAGTCAGTTTTGTCTAAAGAGTATATTGAATTATTTATTCAATAAAACACTCTTTCCAAATAGCCTCTCAATAGGTGAACAAATATTGCGTTTCAGAATTGACTTGCGGTAGTTGACCGAAAGAAACCCTGAATCCAAGCTTTATCATGGTTTCATCACTCAAGCCATGCCCAGTTATCCTGACATTGTGCTCATTAATGTTCAGCTAAAACCTGAAAAGGGCTATTTTGGTCAAGGTTACTTGTAGAAATGTGTTATTAGCAGTCAGCTTCTGTGGCCTAGATACAGCAGACCTTGTTTGTCTGCAGATAACCAGGATGCTTGCTATTTTAAATTAACAAAAAAAACAGAGAGAACCAGCAGAACTGGCTGGTGGAAATCACCACATTGCATCATTGTTTTACTTGAAGAAGGTTTTTTAGGGTTACAAGGATAATATATGTCCCCTTTTTTCTTAAAAAGGTATTTGCAAGCTGTAAGCCTTAAGTTGGAGAGCATGAGGTGGAAAGTAACTACCACAGACCTAACTGTACATGTGAAGACTACAGAAATATGACATGGTGTAATTGTGGATTTACTTACAAATGGTGAGCTTACATTATTTGGGAGTAATTTTAAGTTTTCAGTAAGTATTAATGCTGTCCAACGTACAATTTTAATCATGCTTAATCATTTTTTTTGTATCGAAAAAGGGAGGAACTTGATTAGGTCGGAAGTAAATTGTGAATAAACTCGTAATAACATGAAAAACAACATTTAAATGTGGAAGCTAGATATAATATAACCAACTAGAAACAGTTATGAAGTAAATATATCTGTCACGCAATCCTTCACATATTATCAATATATCTGATTATTTTAATTAATTAATTACATAGCCTAATTAAAGGTACAAAATGTATAATTTATGACAATGTTTACATTTAAATATCTTACTTAATTAAAAATTGACTAAAACCATGTTATTTTTATTAGTTGAGTACTTACATTTCCTCAAATATTTCCAACAGTTATCAAAGCCAGAGAAAACCGTAATTTTATAGTTGTAACGGCACCTGTGGACGCCATGATGAGCTGCCAGGACAGACAGAATGTTTATCGTTGCCGTGGAAACACCCAGTGTAACGCAAAAGACCGCTACATAAGGAAGCTACTGAAAGCTGCTGTTCTGTTGCTGTATAGCTGCTTTGATAAAATATTGGGGGTGTGGTAGCTGAGAGAACTCCCATGATTCCCCGCTAGCCTCAACGTTATCTTTTGTTATTGTACTATTGATTGAGATGTTGTATCTTTAATTACGTTATTCTCTTAATCGATTGAGTGTAAGAATCATAATGTATCAATTCCATTTCATGGTTTTTGTTCTTCTATTATTTGTATACTTTTGTATTTGGTTGAATACATAATTGTATAAAAACACTGTAAAAAGCTGAGTCATGGAAGATTGATCAGTAACTTTAATTCGTCATCATAAATAAATGATTTGTTAGAGCACATAAAACTACTTGTCAGGGGAACATGTTGGTAGGTGGCACATTGACAATAAAGTTGTAGTGATGGACGAGAGTCAATATGACTCATTAACAAAGGACAGACATAGAAATGGTTTTCCTAACATTATCAGCACAGAGCATGAAGTAGCATGAATATGGTTTAAATACTTTACAGAGTAAAAAAAGGAAACAGACCAAAAAAAAGACAAAAACCTCATCAGTGCGCCGCAAAAGCTATTTTTCTCCAATATTTTGAACCGTGTTAGTCTGATGAAATTGCTCCTGCATTAAAGATTAGTTTCCATGTAACCGAGGATGAAGTTGTGTAAAGGGGAGATAAAAGTATGAGCACTTCTTGAGATGTTGGAGATGTAGTATGCCTCTTAAACCCTGACTTATATAATGCATGCCTTATGTAAGACGTATCATGAGGGAATGTCTGGAGCTCCAAGGAAACATGCAACAGCTTTACATCACAAAGACAAAATGCATTTTTAAATAGCTTAGTAGACATGGATGCAGTAAAATACATTAAAGTTCAATGAAAACATTTCAAAATAAGTCATCTCCATTTGCTTCCTAATTTATCCTGTTAGTGTTCTGTCTCTCTCCTGAAGCACTGTGGCATTTTGCAGCCAGCACTGAATCAGTTTGCTGATGGGGATCAATAAGTCCATTTTGCAAGTGATAGCAGATGTTGCATAATGACAATTCCACCGTCCCCACTGGATCAGACCCAATAGGTTAACGACCTCAGTGACGGTGGCAATGTTGCATCATTGCATGTTCAGCATTTTCCAACTTGTGACATTTTGTTCGCCTGTTTTCGCTCGGTCAGCACCAGTCTCTGACAAAACTGGCGTCGGAAGCAATCGGCCTAATGCAGCAAATAACTTAGAAATTTTTTGTCATATACATAAATCATGACTGTGTTCATTCTCTGTCACCTTCTTTGGAACTTTTTTTTGCTGAGCATGTTTGTTACAGTGGGAACAGTTCTGGTCTTCACTCTGGTTTTAGTTGAAGCTCTCAGCAGTAGCGGCTGGTCTTACGGTGATCTTGGTTGCCTTGAGGGAATACGAGGGCCCTGTGCCCGGCTTCCAGTAAATACCTTTTCGTCTCATAGAACGCCCTTTGGCCCTCAACCACATATACTTTCCATTAAGGTTGGTATCTCCACAAGCATTGAACCACCAACCACCTGGAAAGGGAACAGGACAAGAGACATACATTATGTAAACATTAGTTGGGCTCTACAATTTTACCAAATCAGCCTGTAAATCTGTTTACCTGTGTAATTGCGAGCACAGTTGGGGTTTCTATTGTTGTGATTATTTCTGTCTTTTGTGGAGAATCGCATGCCGGTGCTGTTGGCCATGGCATCGGATAGGTCACCAGAGAAGTGGCTGACATGGATTACATAGTCCTTGGAAGAACCCTCCAGTGAGAAGCGGTACTCAGCCCAGTGCTTCTCCTCCTTCCAGTCCTCCATATCAATACGCAGGATGTAAACTCCCTGCTGTGTCAAGCTGTGGATCTTCTTCAAGCCCAACCAGTAGTCCTCTGCAAAACACATCAGTCTGTTTTTATCACGTTGAGATACATACGTTCTTCAGACATTTCAAACACACAGTATATTCCCAGGCTGTGCCTTCTTGGCATAATAATGTATAATTGGCATAATTGTTTCCAATATAGTTAGAGACATCCATATTTAACCAGAGCAGCCATCCGTCTAAATAAACTTTGTTTTTCTTTCTTGCCTGTGGTAGATTGCTTAAGAAAACTGTTAGAAACAATTACTAGATTAGTAATTGTGCATATTGTAGTGACTTGATGCCTGCAGGAGTCATTACTTTTGAATGTGGCATGACTGCACTTAAGAGCTTCTGCCAGCGAGGGCTTCTGGGTAAACTGCCAAAACATGTTGAATACTCGGTCAATACAGGAAGTCTCTTTGTCAGTTCAAGGCAGTGGTGTATAAACAACTATTTCCTATGACCATGCATGCAGGAAGTACTTGAAAATAACTCCCCTGCAAACTTAAATCTCTGAAGTTTCGCTGAAAAGTACACTCATTAATTAATTGCAACAAGAAACAGTTCAAAAGGGTTTTGCAAGTGGTATAAAACAGCATATTATTAATTGAATGCCAAGTCAAAAACTCACTTTCCAGATCTCCAAAGCCTTTCTCATACTTATCCCATGTCTGGTCAAAGTCAACTGAACCACCGACCCTGTGTTGGATGACAGTTGAACCTTCATCTGTTGAATGGATTAGAAATATATGTTATTGAACAATGTGCTCAAATGTTTACACAAGTATCAAGAAGCCTCCTTGTCATGGACAATGTGAATGGGAAGTCCCATGAGTGTCTGCAGTTTGGATAATCTGTTCTAGTGGCTAACTAGCTTGATTCCTTTTTTTTTCTTCCTGACCTAATGAAATGGTCGTAAATACCAAGGCTTAAATTAAATACATGTCAGCTCCCCTGAATACACAGTACAGGGATGGATACAGTAGTTTGTTCTTAATTTGAACTCGGCGAGTTTCAGTCTGACCCACCTGAGCCCATTTCGCAGTAGACATTGAATGGCTCAGTTTGGTTTGGCTTGATAACGTAGATTCCACTGTTTGCCTCGCCTTTGTTAAACAGGTCACTGCAGTCTCTTGGGAGGTCTGAAACACGATGAAGAAAAACACAAGGTTAAGGCAGCCACTTCCCCCTTAAACTTCTTATCTCTACATTTATTTTTAAGAACATTTATCACACCAACATTTTAACTAACGTAATACATTTGAAATAGTTTTACCATTGGTGTCCAGACCGGTTGAGTTTCCCGTCAGATATTCAAACATATCAGAAGCTGCCAGCTCCGAATTCATTGGCTTATCGACTGTATCTTGAAAGCTGTCAAAGTTTAGCTGCAAGAGAGTGCACATGAATCAACTATGGTCAGTTATGTTATCCTATGAAGTGGTTTCCCTTCAATAAGGCATTATCATATTCCTATAAAAAAAAGGATTTTCATGGAGAGTTCAAACTGCCTCAATAGATTATTACAAATAACAGATATTCTGCCTGTAGGGAAAACATGTTGTGAAGTATTGTTTACCTTTTCCTCTAGATTTTTAATCTTAGCTTTCTGGTGGTCAAGCTGATCATGCTGCTCCCTCACAGCATTCAACAGGCTGGTGATCGTTTTTTCTTGTGCATCAATCACCTCCTAAAAAATGTGATCATAAAAAACAGTTTAAAGTAAATTGAAGTCCTTTTGGTGCAGTTTAATTTGCTTACTTTTCTCCTCTGTAAAAGGCAATTTATATTACAATAACCGATCCAAACATATAAAGGAAACACTGAATTGTTTCAGTGCCTTTTAGCTCCTTACCTTGAGGGTAACCATCTCACCAAGCTGGTCAGCAGGGACCAAACTCTGCGACAGTCCCTGCAGACGCTCCTCCAGACTCCCCACTTTGCTCTGCAGCTGCATGCGCTCCTGCACGATGTTGTTGATCTTGGAGTTAATTTCCAGCGACAGGTTCCTGATCTCCTCATTGTTGGTCTTCAAGAAATTGGTGGTCTTCTTCAGCTCCTCCTCTTCCTCCTTTATCTCTGACGTGACCACCGAGAGCTGGTAAAAAGAGCGGTCGAAAATGTTCAACTTTTGGAAGATGTCGTTGATTTGGGCTTTGGTCTTGTGGACGAACTCCCGTAAGCTCTGGCCTAGCTGAAGGAGGCCATTTGCAAGTAGACGGACATCATCCAGCATGGCAAAGCGAGACTTTGCTTCGGTTGGGCTTGGTTCTGTGGTAAAGCCCCGGATGGAAAGGGTGGTGTACTCTGCTTTACCTGAGGTTTCCAGAGGGATAGAAGCAATGGCTGTAGCTAACAGCAGCAACAGAAAACACTTCTTCATCATGACTTTCTTGTCCAGCCCTGGATTCTAAAAGATTTTCTCATACAGAGTTTTACTGTCTTGCTTTCCTCTACTCTGTGCTTAACTCAACACTGGTTTCCTTTTCTATGCCTCGAACCTAGACTTGGTTAAATGATGTGAGAGCAGTGGCCGCCCTGTGTTATATACTGCCCTCTCGGTAGAGGAGGGGGGATTAGCTGATCATTAAACCCTACTATGTTTTAGCTCTGCACCCTACCTCCTCCCAAATCCCTCTCGAGCCCTCCCTCTCCTAAACAAACAAATCACAGCAGTGAGCAAATGACATATACACCCCCCCCCTCTTCTGTACTGCCCGTTTAACCCCAATCCCCTCTCCATACCACACCCCTGTTCTCCATCTGTAGTGCATAGCTTTAGCTGATCAGCAGAAAGCCAACAATGGCCATCACAGGCTTTTGATGGATCGTCAGTCTGATCAATCTCAAACCTGATAACCCTGCACACACTTTGCTCTGATTGATAATGCTGTGTGTAATTAATGCTCTGGGGTTTGATTTAGCGCCCTGCTGAATCAGCCTAGCACCCAGCTCGCTATCCCTCCTTCCTTCCTTTTTTTGGATGGGGAGGGGAGTGAGCCTGTCATCCGTGCCAGGGTTGAGCTTCTGGGCTGATGTTAAAATGTTGAGAGAGTCTGGACAGTGTGTACTCATCATCTTGGTTTTATTGCTCAGACTTGTCATTTTTTATCAACTTTATAATGCCATGTGTGATATTTTTCTATGCCAGGGGACATGAAATGGAGAATATACAGTTTACTGATTAGCTTGCAGCTTTTAAGGGATCAGTTCTGTGCACCGAGTCCTATCGTAAAAAAACAATCTTTATGGCAATTTCTTAGTAAGTTGTTTTAGGGAGACTTGCAATGTTGGTGAAATATGTTCACTTCCAGCCAGCGAGTGAGGAACTAATCAGTGAAATGACTCGGTGTAGTATTTAATTGCAGTATAAATATTTATTCTTCTGGCACCAGAGGCTTTGTGGTTCTCAATCTCAAAAGTGAACTTGTTCTGTCAGGATGTCAAGAAAGCCTTCCAAACTGAATGATTGCTACGTCTTGCAGCCACTACTACTTTGGCTAATCAGAGCTTAGAATTGCTTCTTGTCCAGGTATGTTTACTTTGAAAATTTTCTATTTGGAAGCTTTTATTTCAGTGTTTGTTATTGCCCTTAACATGTGTGTTCATTTGTCAGCTATCTGGTCACTCTGTATGGCAAAAGCAGAGATTTCAACATCATAATGTAAGATGCACATCGAAGAGTTGCAGAGAGTGTTGTGGGTATTTGGCCCTTAAGTTACCCTTGGTTTAAAATGGAAACATTTTAGTACCCTATTACAGTAGGGTGAAAATACCATACAGTCATTTTAATGAGCTTTGTCCAGTAATTTGCGGTTATAGGGACGGATTACCTCAGCACACAGTAATGACAAACTGCAGGCTTATCCATATGAAAAGAGCAGAAAGAAATGTTCTATAGAAAAGAAAGAAAAAAAGACCACTGATTGAGTGAATGTTCCAGGAATTTGCTTAACCAGCATAAAGCTGATATTCAGTATCCTTCATGCCAGCACAGTGGTAAGAGCAAGAGGGTAAAGGGTTTTGAACCTAACATGAGCTGCTGTTCTTTCCGCAGTGAAGCGAGCATCTTTCTGCCTGATTTAAAATAAGAGCTTTTATCTTCACTGGACAAATAACAAACACATGCAAATCACTTAGTAAGGCGCTGGGTCGTAAAAAATCAGTTGACATGATGCACAAAGACTCAACACTATGGCTCCCAAAGATATACTTATCAATTTGCGATTTGCATTCAAGAACACAACGTTTCGAGCCAGACCGGGCTCTTCATCAGGTGCTTGAAACATTTTGTTCTTTTAATGCATGTAGCAAATAAATAAGTATATCTTTGGGAGCCATAGTGTTGTGAGCCTTTGTGCATCATATTAAATAACCAACACTCAACCACCTATCCATTGAACTCAAATCAAAAAATATTGCTCACTTTCTTATGCTGCTGTCCTTTTGTAAAATGTTATCCAGGTAAATTCCTATTGAACGCAAATTTTGAATTCCCATACTGCTGTATCAGTCACCACACCAATTACAGTCATGCATTCTACCTGTAATTCCTGAGGTGTTTTATGTGGGACCATTCAAGCAAAAGTCAATACATTAGTTTTTTCAGTTGTTGAACCTAGTTTGGAGGATTGCTCTGATGACTTGTTGTGAGTCAGTTTTTTGTTTCATGGTTCGATGTTGTGCATACCACCAACCAGCTCCCAGTGCTAATGTGAATTTTTGCCATGTTTAATGGAGGCAATTAAAGCAATAAGTACCACAGAGTGCTGCATTGACAAAAAAATAAAAAGCTAACCAGGATGCATCGCCGCAAAAAAGCTGTGCAGTGCATCTTGTTTTCATGGCAAACTTTACCCATTCCAACTGCATCTCAAAGTTTTACTGGAATTATGCAGAATTAGTCATTATATAGTTTCTGGTTTATTCAAAGAAAAAACTAATTATATTGCTTCAAAGTAAAATGTGCACATTTCAATGAACTTGAGGCAGCATTGCTTATTAATTAATGATTAATGTCCGATGCCTACAGAACATAATCCAGTACTGCTGGATCACTGTACAGGATAAATTAAAGCATGAATCAGAACTATAAAGAACTTGCCACACAGTTTGGGCAGGATGGGCCTTGCTTCAAGATGTCATGACATTTGTTAAAATGTGGGCAAAGTTTTAATTTACAGTATGTTAGATTCATTTGAATACTTTTTATTCTAATAACTACATAAGGTGAGTAAACTTTTTTAATGCCTTTCGTCCCTTCAAATTCACTGACTATGGTTGTCCCTCTGACAGTCAGTCTTGTTTCTTATTTGCCATTCCTTCGCTGCATTACCCAAATTACTTAAATGCTTTGTCACCTGGCCTATTAGACAAAGTGTATGCTGATCTATGTTTAGACTAAGTAAACAATGACTGTGTGCCCTTATTTGGTCTCTTGACTAGAATGAGGAAGGTATCCAGCCGTTATTTCAGTTAGGAGTCTATTGGGACACCTACGGTGCAGAGTTTACTTTCAGGGTATCCCTGTATACTTATTAACCTAAGATAAATTTGAAGAGAAGAACTGACCAATCAATGTGAATACCTTTGTGCTTATATGGGTATTTCAGCTTTTCGACGGTTAAGTCATCCTTAGGTCTATTTCAGTTCATAATCAACTCCCCACTTTAAAGCTGCCAATAAAACTGTTAGAACATGATAGATGGCGGGTAGCAGAATAAGAAAATGAGTGAAATTCTAGTCAATACAAGATGAGAGATTCCCACGCTTCTTTGTCCGTTGTGGTTCCAGCTGTGGTCTCAATGGGGCCGCCCCCCACAGGCTTGACTACGTCATTGCGGTTTGTCAGCTGATCCTGGTTTAATTTTGCCCTTCCTCCTGTGAGCCCCCCCCCCAACCCCCCCAATGGTCTATTGACCAGTATTTTAACAGCACAGAACTAACACTATTAGTTTGACTGAAGATAATGATCACACATGCAACATTTTACCACAACTTTTACTGTGTTATTAAAAGAAAACTACCAGTACTTATCAGATTGTAGCTTTCTAGTCATTGGGCAGAATCAATTAAAGGCAACATTAAAACGAATTCAAAGAGAACGTTATCTATTCTGTATAATGGCTAGTTAACATCATGGTTAATCTTGATGACCACTGCTCAGCCTCAAGTGCTGTTGAGTTTGTGCTTCACCTCGTAGCCAGGTTTTTAAATTGTATTCACTCATGCAGAATTGTTTTCTTAAATGTTACCACCTTTGCATCATGTCAACAACCTCTCACTTCCTCCTCATTCATCAACTATCCTAACTTAACTTAACTTAACAACGTAATTGATCAATTTTATTTACAGACTGATGCCATTCTTTCTGAAATTTGAAGGGTACTACTTTCAAGTTTTGCACCCAAATTTACTATAATAATACTTTACTTGTGTACCACTTTGCTATACAAGTAACAAAGTGCATCACAACAGACAACAAAAGCAACAAACAGACATTAAAAGCAGATTATAGAATAAAATATATATATAAAAAAAGTAAAAGCTTTTTGTAAAAGAATGTCTTAAGTAGAGAAGTAAATCGAGGGACTCTAGTTCAAGCCTGATCTCTTCTGGCAGGCTGTTCCAAAGTCTGGGGAGGGGGGACTCTAACAGCTAAAGCCCTGTCCCCTTTAGTTTGGTGGTTTTGGTGGATGGTACCTACTGTTCTGGCCTTGGCCTCTTATATTTATCAGTTTGTTGAATCTTATGTAACTGTGCCAGGAAAACGGGACATGCACTTTCAAAGACACTGAGTTTATGTCAGAGCATGAGGTCACGGGTTAAGGTTATCTTGACTTTCTTTAATACAGTATACAACAAGAAGAGATGAACAATCTCTGACATGACTTAACCTTTTAATTCATTCTTAAGTATATTAGCTTATAACACAAGGTCAAAACATGGATGTGGATATCCGTTAATTAACGGAAGTCATTATATATGAGCATCGCATTTTTAAAGTCTGAAAAGTTTGACACGTAGGGTTATATATTAAACACATCCTACAAGCTTTGGGAGTGATGTAGCATACAGTATAAAAGGTTATTTCTGGGAGACAAATATTCTTTGGCTATTGTCCATTATATCATTTACATACTATTTAATAAATGTCATTCTTTGTGATCTAATGTTTGTGTCAGTTATTTAAATAACATAACTCATGATGTGTCCTGTTTTTCTCTGCTTGTGTACTTGTCCGTGTCCGTCTGCTAGGAATTTGCTGTATGTGAACCCTCAGAGTCTAAACTTCGCTAACCGACAAGGCTCCGCCCGCAACATCACAGTCAAAGTGCAATTCATGAATGGAGAGGATCCAAACAATGCAATGCCGGTATGCCATGAAATGTATCACACTATAATAAACTTTAGAATTATGTGTATTTATGTTGTTATGTTGACAACTTGATGACTCCATCTTAAAATGAAAAAGTGAAAACAGGGGTTGGGTGTACTTGCTGTTATCAGCAGTTTGAATGCTACCAAATCTGCTCAGGGTAACGTTTTATTCATCGTACAGGTGATATTTGGGAAGTCCAGCTGTGCTGATTTCTACAAAGAAGCCTATACTTCTGTGGTGTACCATAACAGGTGAGTTATTTTGTTTTAATGAAATCTTTGGTTGGAATTTTCTTTTCTGAGCACTGTAAGAAATGTGTGACTGGGATAGTGATTTATCACAGCCCCACCATTCTAAATGTCCTGTATTGTTTGACCGTTACCTGCATTTCAATATAAGATGAATCCCTGCTGTTATAATCATTAGAACCTGATTTATGTCACGACCTCTGATGGCAATCACACGTTACTTGTGAGCTTTGGAACTTTGAAATACTTTGCTCAGTTTAAAATTAAATCCACTTATCTTCACCTTTTCATTTAACATCAGCGCAACATCTCTTACTCTTACACTTCCATTAGCTCTTTTGATGGCATCCATTAAAGAACAGGTTGAATCAACCTTCTGGACCGTGTGAGGTGCTGCCCTTGGTACACGTTTTTTCCCGCTGTACATAAGAGCTAAGGGGTCTCTAATATTTTATTTTATTACCACTATTAGGGATTTCTTTACGACATATAGAGGTTTGTCATTTGTCACCCAGGGGTCAAACTTTCAGGGCTAATATGATCGACCTGAATGATGTGCCTCTGTCGAGGACAGTCGTGCATCTAGAATTAATCCATCCAATAGAAATGATTATAAGTAATGGACGTTTACAGTCTGAATTGTACTCAGAATTGCTGTAATATTTTTCTTCAAAAAACTCATGTAAATGAAAACTTCTGAAAAGGGAAAGTTGAAAGGAAAACAATTATTTCATGAAAAATGTTTTGAAATCTGGAAAAATCTTTCACCTTGTACTTGTAGCTGCTTTTGGAAATAAAGTTGCTTCTAGGACTTTTCACCCTAGAGGTTTTTCTTTCTGGTCCAACATTTGTTCCCGTGAGAAATGAGGGCACTGCTGACTCCTTTTCATCACTTTTCCTCATTTCCACCATTAAAGTGATCCTGGTGTTTTTGTTGGTGGGCCTGCTGTAGTTGGGACTTATTTGTTTTTGAGCATTGGCCTGCAGATAAAGTTTCCTCCTGGGGGACTTAAAGAATTCAGCCAAAGTAATTTACGATGTGTTACGTAATTTCCTATTAGACAACATGATTTTCACAATGAGGTTCTGCTACGTCTGTAGACCAAGTCCCAAAGTTATAAATGGACCCAGGCAGGAAAGTATGCTGTATATAAATAGTACAACATTGATGAAAATGTGCTTCTTGTCTATAGCTAGCTAGTGTGTAAGTCTGTTTGGCTGGAATCGTACAGCATGAGGAGGTAAAACTATTCGTATTAGTTTCCATAAATGAGTCTTTTAAAATGTGCACAGCAGTATTGAGATGGCATTGACCACTGAAGTCAGGAAAGAAAAGCGGTCATACCCTTTGTGGCCCTCGATACAAAAATAACCGCTCATAGGTAAAAATGGAACTGTGACTCATTAGTGTCTTGAGTTACAACTTGTTTTGGTTTTATAGTTTGGTCATGCAACAGGAGCTCAATAGTGAATATATAATGAAGGCTATACAGTTGAGGTGCATTGCCCTTGAGATGCCAGCCTTATTTGTATTTGTATCTACATAGAGAGGACACTAATCTGTTGTCCTGCGTATTCTGTCAACTATTGAATAGTTGTATTTTACAGTTACGGTTTGTTTTCAACAGATCCCCCGACTTTCATGATGAGGTCAAGATCAAGCTGCCTGCATCCCTGTCGGACCACCACCACATTCTCTTCACCTTTTACCACGTCAGCTGTCAGCAGAAGCAGAACACACCGCTGGAGACCCCTGTGGGATACACGGTATGAAACAGTCATGTGATCATCCGATGGTTGAGACTAACAGTTATTTTGCGCTCATTCTGTTGGGAGGTTCATGCAGGCACAGGGTGTGAACAACACACAGAATTGAATCTTGATTTGTTCTTGTCTTCATTGTCTGTAGTGGATCCCCATGCTGCAGAATGGACGTCTGCGGACAGGACACTTCTGTCTGCCTGTGTCTCTGGAAAAACCTCCACAATCCTACTCCGTTCTCTCACCAGATGTAAGATGCATTTTGTAAATAATGCACATGTTTGTTATGAATCAACTACTTAAATGATAAAAAAAAAAAGAAAAGCATGAATGTAGTTACATAAACTGAAAGGGGGAAGAAATTATATTTTTGCAGATGTTTTTGCAGTAATGTTTAGACTTGTATTACTGTCTTTCAGTGACTTCAGAGCACCCTTTGATGGTGTTGAATCTCAGCTGTCCACTCAGGCTTTTTTTGGTACCCTTTGTAAAATGTTCTTTATTAAAATGATTTTTTTTTAAATGGGTGTTTTCTTTAGGTTCCTCTCCCAGGGATGAAGTGGGTTGACAACCACCGAGGAGTATTTAATGTGGAAGTGGTGACTGTTTCAGCCATCCACACACAGGTAACAGTAATGTGTATATCATATTACTCACTGTCTTTTGGGGATTCAACTTCACCACCTCTCCTCCTCCTACTCTGTCTCATCTTTACAGATGATGTCATTGCGCTTTATCTGAGCGAAGGGAAATTTAGCTGCACAATTTACTCTGTATCCTGCTTTTCTGTTTTGTTGCTATATCAATTTCTGTCGAATCCTTTTTATACATGAACACAGGTTACACTTTAAAAAATCAGTCACAGTGAAGACAAACGGGCTGTTTTCAGGTTTAGACGGTACACCCTCCCTAGCATCAGTTCATTAGTGGGTGAACCTCGCCTCACCAGTAATTTACTGGAGTCTACTCCATCTCTGTGTCGATTGGGGTGTAGAGGGCTTGACTGTGGTCCCTAGGAGCCTAACTGGGACTAATGTGCTCATAAATCACTGCTCCTGGCGCAGATTAGACTTGCTGGATTCTGGTGTGTTCTTGTAGTAGCCTTCGTTTTTGTGGATTCCACTTGGTGAGCCAACTTAAGACGAGTAGATCCAAGCTTACTTTTTTTTTGATGACTACCTTCTAGCTTTTTCTGCTTTAACTTTCCTTTAACACTGTTGTGATTTTTTCCTTTTGGGTTAGGCTAATTCATTTTTTCTTGCTGTCCTCTTTTCTCTGCACCACTTTTTTCTTGTCCTGTTTTCCTCGTCTTGTGTATCTTATGTCAACAAATATCTTACATTATCCCCTCTCTCCCTATGCAGGACCAGTATCTGGATAAGTTCTTCGCTTTGGTTCACGCCCTGGACGAGCACATGTTCCCAGTCAGGATAGGTGACATGCGCATCATGGAGAACAACCTGGAGGCCGAGCTCAAGTCCAGCATTGCGGCGTTAAACTCTTCCCAGCTGGAGCCAGTGGTTCGATTTCTTCACCTTCTGCTTGACAAGCTGGTGTTGCTCGTTGTGCGGCCGCCAGTCATTGCCGGGCAGATTGGTAAGATATTTTATTGCACTAAACTGATAAGCCATAGATCACATATTGATTAACCTCCAGCTTGGAGGTGTTAATCTCTCTAGTATAGTAAGGCATACATTTTATCACCTCAAGCTGTAGAATGTAGATGGAACAGATAATGAAAAAAAATTGAATAAATAAAATGTGGTCATAGTAACTTGGCCGCCTTTGCTGTGTATGTATTTTCAAACTCTGGTTTGTCACCACTACAACTGTTTCCATTCAGAGTTTCCCTCCTACATCAGTTTTTGATGTTTGAAATTGCATCTTTCATTCGTATGTATAAATGTTCTAAAACTGAAAAATGGCAAGGATCAGCACAAAGACAAATAAAATAGTGTGCAAACTAATGCTGAGATGCTGCTGGACACTTGTTATAGGAGATGGATGTGACTCAGGAGATAGAGCGAGCTGTCCACTGGTTAGATCCCCACCTCTTACTGTCTATTTGTTGATGTTGAAACATCTTCTCCTCGAGTCTTCAAACAAATATGTGAAGAAGATTTAAATGTTGCCACGCTGCTGTGTTCATGAAGTAAAAAAATCAACTGGAATATAATATCTTTACTACACTTTAATGAAAGTATTTGAAGTAGATATGATTGGTTGATGTAGAAAGGGTAAAGAAATGCTATTGAACACACTTGACATAATAATATCGAAATGAGTGTTAACAATCTGGATTGCATTTTGATACATTTTAGCTTGGTCTTATTGGTTACCATTTTGTTCCAGTGGGGTCACTAACAGTTTACTCCTCCAAGCCGGGACATGACAGAAAAATGTTGAGAACCACTCACAGAAACAGACTTCTAATTATTCAAATTCAACAGTAATTGTATAAATATATATATACAGTATATATATTTTTTTGCTGGTCAGCCGTTACCCAACTACACAATAAGCAATGTCTTAAATCAATAATGTCTTATTCCATGTCTGCATTGAAACATGTCGATGTGTGTTGGTGGGTTTGTGTGTTTAGTCAATCTGGGCCAGGCATCCTTCGAGGTCATGGCATCCATAGTGAACCGCCTTCATAAGTACTTGGACACCAGCCAAGACATGCATGGCCGCAACGGCCTGCTGTCATCTTACATCCACTACGTCTTCCGCTTGCCCAGCGCAGACCCCAACTCGCCTTCCCCAGGTATGTTGAATGTTAATATTAAATATTCTGTGTCTTCTTTTCTGTTTCTCCTTTTAAGTTACCTTCATTCAACCCACCTTCATCTTCACTGGGTTTCTATTGTCAAACCTACTGGCCATAATTTTTCCTCTTCTATTTTTTTTTTAATCTTTTGCTTTTTTCCCTTCCTGCATCTATTTTGTCTTCTGCCTGCTCAACACAGACCCCAACTCATCCATAACAGGTACAAACAACTGTAGATCTTAACATTGCGAGCAATTGTTGTTCCCTCCAAAATGACAATATCATGCTTCATGCTTCTTTCCACTCATTTTCCCGTCAAGTTTTTATAATCCTCATAGAATAAATGTGCTTAATACTGTATTAACCTTTTATGTTTGCCAAATTGAAGTTGTAGAATCGTGTCTTGGTTCATTGGCTCTTTGGTCTGAAGTGGGGTTATTACAAATGTACATGTGGGCATTGGGCGCAGAGTAAACATGCAACCATCATGTCAGTGTACCTTCATTGTCTTCCTAGAAGCAGATAGCCAATCATATACCTTTCTCCCACTTTCCTTTCTTTGTTTTCCCAGGCCCGGGAGGGTTGGGAGGCTCGGTTCACTATGCCACTATGGCTCGTTCAGCTGTTCGCCCAGCGAGCCTCAACCTCAATCGCTCCCGTAGCCTTAGCAACAGTAACCCTGACATCTCTGGTACTCCCACCTCTCCTGACGATGAGGTCCGCGCCATCATTGGCAGCAAGGTAAAGCTTTGAATTAATATCTTTCAATTTGACATCAGCCCATGACTTCTTTAGTCTCAGATAGATATCAGTTTGTTTTCTGTTAGGGCAGAAAAAAAGGTGCTCAAACTCAAAATGTTACACGTGGTTCTCATGTGGACAATAGACAGAAATAGAATTGACAGTCAGTAAAGTTAAATGTTGAACACAGCTGCAGCTCTGACTGATTTGTGATGTATTTGAGACAAACTTATGTAAGGTGATTGAACTGAATCCATAGCTCTAAAACGCACACAATAGGCAGCCCCCCCCCATGTGCTCAGTGACCCGTGGGGACTATTTTATCAGCATGCAAACTGAATGACAAATGCGTAAACATAAGACTGGACATCTTATCTCTGTAACCTGTGTAAAAGCAACCTGACACCCACACAGACATATGCATGCCCTCACAATGCACAGTGTTTGCAGGTTGTGAAAGGCATCAGAGAGACATCTGGTTAACAGTCACATCAGCAAAGCAGATGATGGCAGGATGATACTTTAGCATATTATTTGAATACTCATACAGCATTTAAAGGTGTTATTAACAGCCTAAGTCTCTTCTGGTTTTCTGAGTATCTTTTATTTTATTTATTTTTTCGTGTTATGTATTTGCCTTGAATGATTCCCCACTTTTTTTAATTTAACCTGAGCAGTGAGTGAATGCAGCCCTTTGTTTAATGAATGTTCCCTTTGCCTCTTATATTTAACTAAACCTTTCTTCTCTTGTCTCTTGAGTGAGGGGGGGGGGTTGTTTCTTACACAGAGACTAAAGGGGAGAGAGAGAGAACCTAAGTGCTTTGCTCCTCTGTGGTGATGATTTGGATTTTTTAATTTACTGACATCTAACCTTTGTTTTGGTCCTTTGGCATCTTCCAGCAGTCCTGACCACTGAACCTCTTTAACCTGTCATTATTCCTTCCCTCCTCCTTCCCCCCCCCCGTGCTGCTCGCTCACTCCCTTGCTTCCTGCCTGCCTTGTGTCCTTTGACCTTGGCACGCCTAGGGCTTAGACCGCTCCAACTCGTGGGTGCACACCATGGGCTGTAAGAGTGCCCCCTGGGGATCCAGCCCTGGGTCTGCTCCAGAAACCATGCAGGTGGTTTTACGAATGCCCCGTCCTTCACTTTGCCTCACTGCTAAAACAGCTCACTCTTTTCACCTTGAAGGGATACTGGGATATTTGGAGTTTTGGTTTATTTTTGTACTTTGCCAGAAGTCCTTAAGAAGGGCATTTTCTCCATAATGAGTATTATAAGAGAGTTTTTTTGTCCTGAAGTCATGATCACATAATCATAAAGCTACTTCCAGACTTTTTACAACACTTTGTGCTGAGTTTTTTTTCAAACTAGAGAGATTCCTACCCTGAAGACATAAAGTCCAAAACTTCAAAATATTACAGTATTCTGGTAAACTTTAAATCACAAGCCTCCCATGATCCCTTACATGGGAGTCACAGCCGCCTCCATGACCCTCTGCCTCACTCTAGAGTCTGAAGTGTCATCCCTTCCACTTATCACATCTAACACCTCTCTTTTTCTCGGTGCTTGCATGATTCAACACGTAGACTTAATCGGCATATTTCAGTCCCTCTTTTTATCTGTAATTTCTGGAACATAGTTGGCCTCCTCTTTCTCTCCGTGTCGTTCTGCCTGTTGTTTTGGGTTTATAGTGGTCTGTTGTGGCTAAACCCAGAACCAAGGCACACTGTAAGGATTGTTGGAGTACCGTAGAAGAGAAAAAGGGTAGTGTTAGAAATCCTCAGACTAGACTCATTTTGAATTCATTTTCATTTCATAAACTCTTTCTTCTATCGCTACTCTCTCTCTCTTTCTGCATTAACCTCATAGTCTCCACTCTCAACTAGAATCCCTGCATGACTCTGTATTAACCCTACATAGCAATCACTTTGTCACTGAAGCATGGTATCACTGTGAGTGTGAGTGTGTGTATGTCTAACACCTTTATTTTTCTATCTTCATGTGACGTTTTGTCCTTTTTTTGTACTCATTTTCAGTTTTTATGACATAGAGACATGTTTGTTTTGTTTACATTTGTTTCTCAATTACACATCTGTTATTATTAATGGCAAGAAACCAAAATTATATCACTTCTGCTTGCTTATTGTAATCACAAAATAAGATTAAAACATTGAATAAATAGTGCCAATACCCACTAACAACATGATAGGCATACTCTGCCTTTTATTGATAACCCTTTTAGAACTAAAAATGTTATTTCCTGATGACATTTTACACCTATGAAGTATTCAGTTCACCTGGAGGGATTCAGAATCAGTAACTCAAAGACTTTCTTTCCTTGAGCTCTAGCCATTTTGCTCCCCTCCTTCAAGGGAATCAAACCACAGATGACTGTTTTAGATTTCATGTTCATTTTTAAGTGTTGTGGCCCTATCCTGTGTCTAGTTGTTTATTTGTGTTTCCATGTGTTATAAGTGTGTGCAACAGATCACTGAGCTGTAAAGTGTGCATGTATGTGGTAGACCCAGCAGACACATTTTCCCTGTTTGCTGTGGAAAAAGGTGCAACCCCCCTTTCTCCCGTTGCTCCTCCACTAACCTTGTTGTCACCGTTCCATTCATTCCACCCATAGGCCATGGAGCGCTGTGGCAATCGCATGTCTTCGCACACTGAGAGCGCCAGTTTCTTGCAAACTTTAACAGGACGGTTGCCCACAAAAAAGGTAGAGCCACTTGCACTGGGGGAGGAGCCAACCCCGCCCCGCTCTGTACTCGCCTCCTCACCTGTCTTGTCTGTGGATGTGTGCTCTCGACTGGTTGATGTTGTACTTGGTGGCTGTGGAGTCTTGTTGAATGCTGAATGTCTTTGATCCGCCTGTTTTCCTGAATGTGTCACAGTGATTTACATGTGACATGAATGTTGTTGTCTGGGAAGTCTCCTTTCATTTTGCACTATTTACTCAAATATTGAGTGCATGTTTTTTGTTTATTTATGTCTTTAGTATAGAGCGATATTCAAGTCAGTTTACTTTTACCTTATAAGAGATACTGTATGTTAAATGTAAATTTGAAGAATGAAAAAAGGTATTTTTTCCGATTATCTCCCCCAGAGCTTTAAACAACAACGCTAAGTACTCCTGAGTAGTTGAGTTTGTTGGATTGTTAATAGTCAGTTGTCAATGTTATTTTCAAGAAACAGGATTAATTCTTCTTTTAAAGACACAAATACGATCTCAGGAGATTAACAAATATGTCATTTGTATTGTTTATCCATCACAATTAGTTTCACTCTAAATCTTTTCTTGTATATTCAGCACTATTAAGGGAGGCTTGCCAGACTCATGACAAGAAGTTAGCCGGACTGTGTAGGATGTTTTTTTTACATAAAATACACAAACAGGATTAAATGATCATAATAATTGAACAAAACAATCACCAAAAATGTAACCATTAGTCCCATTATTAGGAAGTTTAATGATGACATCTTTTGCATGATAATACTGGTAAATTGTCATTACCTCATTAAGAGCCAAATGTTGCTGCACACAAATCTCAATCATGCTATATGTTTTTTTTTTCTTCAACATGTAATGTATGTCAAAGTTTTGTTGGTAAGATGTTTAGGAAATATTTTCTAAGTTAGACTTAATTTCAGTGTAGGGACCCGAGCGCTCAACTGAACCGTGTTTTCTTTTCGCTTCTCTTTTATTTCATGTCACAATCCAGTTGAATACATATATGCTTTGGTTTCCAGTTAAACCTATATTTACGTAGTCTGTTCACAGCGTGTAGACCCAGGGAAGGTTAAAATGTTTAAGAGACACTGATGCTTCTTCTGGTGCCTCACATTCTTTCTGTTTGTCCTTGTTGCCTCTCCCACTTTGTCCCTCCCTTTCCTCTTTTTTTTTTGTCTTCATCTGTGTACTTTCCTGATCTACTCAGCTCTTCCACGAGGAGCTGGCCCTCCAGTGGGTGGTAAGCAGTGGAAGTGTCAGGGAGGGCGCTCTACAACAAGCCTGGTTTTTCTTTGAACTCATGGTAGGAGACAAACTATTTTTTTTACAATTAAAACTGCTTTGATTCATATATTTTACTATACAGTCAAAAACATTATTCACTCTGCGGTACTTGTCCCATGACAATATCTGGTGTTCCATCCAAACCTCTTAACCACAGGTGAAAAGCATTATCCACCACCTGTACTTCACCGATCGTTTGGAGTCACCCAGGAAGAACCGTTTCCCAGAACGCTTCATGGATGACATCACAGCCTTGGTCAGCACCATCGCTGGTGATATTGTGTCTCGCTTCCAGAAGGTAAGTAGTGGCCTTGTGAGGTGTGTGGTATTGGTAGAAGGGCATCTAAGGGAAAAAAAGTCCATTCAAGGGAATTCAGAAGAATATTTACAAATTGTTTATTAACAAAATGATTTTAAAGATTGCACTGTAAATGCCAGTTTTGCTACACTTTTGTAAAGTGGCAGTAAATATTTGAGACTGCCAAGAGTGTCCTGTAACATCATTTTTCTAAACGTCTTAAAGAATGTGTTTCTGATCCAAACAGGACCTAGAGTTGGTGGAGAGACTAAACACTAGTCTGGCCTTCTTTCTCAACGATTTGCTGTCAGTCATGGACCGAGGTTTTGTCTTCACCCTTATCAGGGCTTACTGGAAACAGGTAAGTGCCTTTTGTATGAAGAACATATTCATGCGTAACTCAAACTTTTTAATCACATCTCATGTTGACACACTTAAACGCCTTTTCTTAAAACAAATGAATGTGTACTGGTTTCTGTCTTCAGGTGTCCACAAAGCTTTACGCTCTGCAGAACCCAACCCTGGAGTCTCTGAGGCTTGATTTCTTGAGAATCGTTTGCAGCCACGAACACTACGTTACCCTCAACCTGCCCTGCAGTCTGCTCACCCCTCCTGCCTCCCCCTCCCCCTCTGTATCTTCAGCAACTTCACAGGTCAGATAAAAAGTGGATCGATTAGAACACCAGCATACATAATTAGAAGCAGGCATAAGAAAGTCTAATGAAAGCACTTTGTGATAGTTTTGTTGGATCAAAAGTTTCCCCTTTAACTTAGCATATAGATAAAGATAAAATCCTCATGAAATGACTCTGCCTCATTTAAAGGAAAATCAACAAGGTACGGTGTTAATAGTCTTATTTATTTAAATGTCCTGTTTCTCTCTCATCCACAGAGCTCTGGGTTCTCCACGCATGTCCAGGACCAAAAGATAGCCAACATGTTTGAGCTGTCCGTCCCTTTCAGAGAGCAACACTTTCTGGCTGGACTGGTTCTGTCCGAACTGTCTGTAATACTGGACCCAGAAAATGAGGGGTTAGTACGCTTTGGATGCAATCTTACCTATAAAAAAACCCCCAAAAAACTTGTGGTTCAGTTCCAGGCATCTAGGTATGTTAGGGATGTTAATGACAAGGCAGTGCATGTGTTCTATATGTATGAGTGTCATATTGTCTGTGTTTAACTCTAAAGTGTCGTAATGAAAAGAAAGCGATATATTCAGTCAGAAAGCCGTATGTTCAGTCTAGAGGCTCTGTATCTGTTGGAAAAGATATTTCTGTAAAAGCATAGAACTCGGTTGGCATGTGTCCTCATGGCTGTTCACACTTTGATAAAGCATCTCTTTGTTCATTTCTAATTGTTCTCTTTCTTACTTTAGGATGTTCGGCCTACATAAGAAAGTTGTGAGTGTGGTCCATAACCTGCTGTCCAGCCATGACTCTGACCCGCGCTACGCTGATCCTGAGGTTAAGGCCAGAGTCGCCATGCTTTACCTTCCTCTTATCGGCATCGTCATGGAATCACTACCACATCTCCATGACTTCACAGGTACATCTAATCAGATTTCCCACAATTATGACTGTCGTGAATGAGGCTAGCTGCAAGATGGCACTAACTGATGATGGCACTCGACACTTGTGCAATTTGTCTCTTGCATTACGAGGCAGGTCGAGACATATTGTGGCAAATAACTGGAGCTAAGTAAATCATTGCAGGTTGGTAGGCAAGTCATGTTGCCTACCAACTCTCCCTCAAGCTCATGTTAAAAAATTAGAAATGAATAACATTGGTCTTGATTACCTCTACAACAAACACTTTACTCATTATAGTGTCCCCACAAGAATTTAACTTAATGTTTTATATTACCTTATTTACTCTAATCCCACTAAGTCCCATTAGAAGGTGAATTTTATAGTCACTCTTGTGTTTGTGTACCAGAGTCCCATAACCAGTGGGGTCGGCCAGGCGGTCCCCAGGGGGCAGCGGTTGGCAGCAGTGGAGAAGAGGCAGAGGGCGACGGTAACAGCTTGATCAGTCAGACTGTCGCCATGGCAATAGCAGGCACTTCCACGTCTTCCCCAATGTCCCGACCAAGCAGCTTCTTGCTCAACTCGCAGGTGAGCTGGTGTTTGTGATAGTTAGATTTCAATAGTCAGAACTAATATGAGGCTGTTGTTTCTTGCAATTAGTGTAGTTTTTTTATTTATTATTTTCCTGCTGTTATTTTTTCCCTCCTCATTAATCTCTCCAGGCGAGTCGTCAGCACGGTAGCTTCTCGGCCGAGTCAAGTCGTAGTCTGCTCATCTGTCTGCTGTGGGTGCTGAAGAACGCAGACGAGCTGGTGTTACAGAAGTGGTTCACAGATCTGTCTGTGTCACAGCTTAACCGCCTGCTGGATCTCCTCTACCTCTGTGTCTCCTGCTTTGAGTACAAGGTAACAGCAACAGCAAATACACCACTACCTAAAGAGACAGAAAGATTATTATTGATAACGGCCATTATATGCAGGGACTACAAATGTTACCAGAGAATAATAAAAATAATAAGCAAGTTGACATTGTTCAAATTGTATCTCAATGTTCTAAATCTTTGGTAGACAATAAGTTGTGCTTTTTCCTCTTTCATACTTAACCCATGTTTCACTGGAGTAAAGTTGTCACAATGTTTTATACTTCATATTTGATATCACCATTCATTTTAATGATCAAAAGTACCAAAGCTTTATAAAAACTTCAAATCCTCAGTTATATTTAAACCAAAAGCTTCTGTGAGCCAAACAGAGAGAACTCTTCTCTTATGCACAAATACATTGGCTGTGTTTTGCTACTGAAACGTTGCCGATTCGATTTAGACAGTGTGCAGGAGTTTGTCTGCTTTTTTTGTTCATTAAAAACCGAATAAATACCAAATATTGGGAGTCTAGGACTTTTGTTTATGTTGCTGCGGTATAGCAAATGGAAGCAATAGCGTTTGATTTTTACTAGTATCGTATTGAAGTTTCAAATTCTGGTATTTGTGACAACCTTACACTGCTGCCCCTTCGCTTTGTTTGCTGAATTTGGTGATAAAAATAAGACAGACAACTTGCTACTTTCTATGCGACAATTATCTATTTCTTCCTGTGTATTTGAAGCTCTTTCTGCTGTGCACTCTGTTTGCCTTTTCAGTCCTTGCACACATCCCTTGCACTACTAACCTGCTTTGCTTGCTGAGTGCTGTGCTTCAAATAACTTCCTTGCTTTCCTCTCCTGTCTGTCCGCTCACCCTCTCCATCATGGATACAAGGCCCATGTTGTGTTCACCATGCAGGGGAAGAAGGCGTTTGAGCGAATGAACAGCCTGACCTTTAAGAAGTCCAAAGACATGAAGGCCAAGCTGGAGGAGGCCATACTGGGCAGCATCGGAGCCAGACAGGAAATGGTGCGACGCAGCCGCGGACAGCTAGGTAGGAAAACGTGCTTTGGCACATTCACACGCACAACAACAAATCGTTGTGAAGCACTCGATGGCAAAAACTACAAATCGATGCCATGGAAGGCTTTAAAAAGTCAAACTCCAAGTGTGAAGTACAGAACACATGAATGACCCCAGCAGCCACACTCCACACATGTACAAACAGAGTGCACACAGAGAGCTGTACCCTTTGACAATAATGCAGATCAGGGTCAGCCAGTCGGCCAGAGTCAAGTCACGTTTTCACTGTACACACTGCCTCTTTCACCACCAATTTAAAAAGTAAATAATCCTTTCTTCACAATTTAGAGCGGAGTCCATCTGGCAGCGCTTTTGGCAGTCAGGAGAACCTACGATGGAGGAAGGACATGACCCACTGGAGGCAAAACAGTGAAAAGATGGACAAGTAAGTTTTTTAAAAGCATTGAATTCACTTCTTAAACTCTTACTTTATGATATAGAAAACGCCAAAAGATACTCACACACAGATCATTCATTGTAATCAGTCAATGTGAAGGAATATGTCCGTCCCCATTGCAGTCATCATCTCAATGTGTTATTCATTGTTATAAGTAGAAGTCATAATTTGTTGTTCAATAATAACATACGGAAATGACAAGGAAGACAACTGTAAAGTAGCTGTCAATCACAGGTTGCCACAACGATGCTTTACTGTTTTACTTTTAGGTTCTTAATTTACAAAATGAATTACAAGCTGTATTCAGACTTGAAATGTATTATATAGACAAAAAAGGTCTTTAGGGAAATGTTTCCTGAGGTCATAAACCAAGAAGTAAGGTTATTTCAATACAATCTTGACATTATTAGCCAACAAGAGGACTCTCTCCCTGTTGGTTTTTTAAAGAATGCAGGTTTAAGTCTCAACCGTGTTGGCTTCACTTTAAAATATCTGAAAGTTTATTTAATTTATTATGTACAGCTATGACTGTGTGAGCAAAATAAAGTATAAATATCATATTTTAAATCAGCGACTATGCTTGATCCTTTCAGTAATGATGAACTATCACAAACTCGGCTAAACCCCATTCAGTTCTCATCGTTCCCATGTTTGCCCTGAAACTTCACATCTATGTTGCGTGCACTCTTTAAAACAGTTTTGTATCTTATGTCACTTAATTCAGATGGTGACAAAACATACAAAGCTATACTTGATTTCATTTGAAATTTCATTTTCTTTCCTGTTCATTGGTCAATTCAGCTCCAGCCTTTGTTTTTCTGTTAATTTCCATTTGTTTTCTCACGTTGCTGTGTGTTGATGTAGGAGTCACAAAGCCGTCAGGTATTGTATGGTCCACATTTGCTGTGTGTTCATTTGAATTTCCCTGCTGCTTTAGTTCCTCGTTCTTAGTGTATTCAGTTGTGTGTGAGCAGTTAAGACAGTAAATATGGATAGAAATGGACACGTTAGTTTTTGCTGAATTTTCTCAATCTGCTACTTAATTCAGTTGTTCTTAACTTATCTCGCCACTTATTCAGCAATGTTATGGTTCATTTCCTCTCCATGTTGACTTCTTAAACTCACACATGCACACAAATACACCAGCAGTTACCCCCTCATGCTGGTTCCTCCCGCCCCCCCCCATCCCATCAGCCCCTCTGTCCTGGTAACAATGTCTGTCTCAGGGTTGATAACGGTTGCATTGGGTCTGTTTTGCTTCTTAACCAGTGTGCTTCTTGTTTTGGGGTTCTGATTGGTGTGTCTTTGTGGTTGCTGCTTCAGTAAAAGAACAAGACTGTTATAGAAATAGCTCTTGTTCGGCATAGATTGTTTGACTGTTAGATTAGCAAATATAAGTATATATATATAATAGGGACCAAAAAGCAGTCCTAATAAAGCTTAACATGCCTACAAGTTACAATTTTAGGACATGTAGATGTAAAACATTTGTCATAGTGTCCCACCAGTAGACAGATGTAATTACTCACTCACTTTGTGATGAAGAGAAGCCTCTTCACTGCCTTCAAACCTGCTAACCCTCTGGTGAAGGAAGATTTGGGTGTATGTATTGTATTGTTTCTTGTGGATTTGAGGTCTATGCCTTGCTGGTTGAGAGACATCTTACACTGTGAATATAAATATAGATATGCTAACTATTTTTGAAAGTTTGTGCTGTTTTTGTTGTGAAGGTATTGAACTACAATGGTCCACAATTTCCCAGTTTGGGATCAATAAAGTATATCTATCTATCTCTCTCTCTCTCTCTCTTACAATGAAAAATCCCTGCACGCACGTCCCTAAGTGGGTGCTGGATAATTAAAAAAGGAATAGGTATTGAGAAGCAAACAAAACTGTTGGTTGTTTTAAATTTGAGGAAGAGCATGTTGGCTCCAGACGTCACTTATCAATAAATCATTTAAACAGGATCTCCTTGGTGTACGGATTTTGTTTGCTTCTATATACCGAAGTATCATATTCCATAGAAGCTTATGTAAACAAGAAAATGTGCTGAGATTCTACTCAGCTTTTATTTTTTTATTTTATAAGCATTTCTTTCTCCTCCTACTTTGTACTGAACTGTGGCCAATGGCTTTCATGTGGCGACTGGAAGCCTTTGCAATCTTCCAAAGTTTCTCATCAGCATCACAATTTTAAGTCATTTTTGTAATTATTGTCTTTTTTTCTTGACGATAGGACCAGAGCAGAGCTTGAACATGAAGCACTTATCGATGGTAACCTGGCAACAGAAGCCAACATAATTATTCTTGATACTTTGGAGATCGTTGTGCAGGTATGCAAGTGAACGTCATACTGCATTTACCACTGCAGAAAAAAAAACATGCACGGCTTTTCTTAAAGATACCGGAGTAAACATAACCCCATGTGCTAAAACAACTGCATGTTTCTGCAGACGGTATCAGTGACTGAGTCCAAGGAGAGCATCCTGGGTGGGGTGCTGAAGGTGCTGCTTCATAGCATGGCCTGTAACCAGAGCGCCCTCTACCTCCAGCATTGTTTTGCCACACAGAGGGCGCTGGTGTCAAAGGTAAGAGGTTTGGAAAGTCATCCTTACAATTTCCTCTAGACTTTATGTCTTTTGTTGCATTGTGTCACTGTGAGTGCATTTCTCTCTGCATTTGTAGTTTCCTGAACTGCTGTTTGAGGAGGAGACAGAGCAGTGTGCTGACCTGTGTTTGCGGTTGTTGAGGAGCTGCAGCAGCAGCATCAGCACCATCAGGGCCCATGCGAGCGCCTCCCTCTACCTACTCATGAGGCAAAACTTTGAGATTGGCAACGTGAGTACAACTGAAATACTAAAGGTTGACAAACTGAACTGTTCTCCTCTGTCGTAAAATGTGTTCATGCAGGATGGGTTGTAAATGTTAGAGACTCTTTCTTAAAGTGATGAAAATAAATAAAATTCCCTGTACCAAACATGTCTCTGGAAATAACCTTAAATTGAAAGATAATTGAAAAGAAGTTTGTATAGCCTTTTATTTTGCAGGCCTCTCTCTAATCTCTTCTATTATAGAATTTATTTAACCAGTCGTTAGTAGAAGCTTATTAATTTCTAGTTTTCCTGATATCAACTATATTCTTATAGTGGTTTTATAATGTATTATTTTACATTAGTTTACCAACTTTATTTCATAACCAAACAGTGCAGTCCACTTTCCAGCCTTTAAAAAACTGATAAATGCCTAATTTCCTTTGCAATAGTATAGGCAGACTTTTCTCAGATTGTTTTTTTTTGTAAATTAATTTGAAGCTAGAGAAGAAATCTGCTCTTCAGTTTGCTTTCTCTCCAGTCCCTCCGGCACGAGTAAAACCAGTCACCTTTTCAAGTATTCTTCAGTCTAACTTTGCATCGGTTTGTGGTGGTTCTTACAGAACTTTGCAAGAGTGAAGATGCAAGTCACCATGTCTCTGTCTTCGCTGGTGGGAACGTCTCAAAATTTCAACGAGGAGTTTCTGCGTCGCTCTCTGAAGACCATCCTCACCTACGCAGAGGAAGACCTGGAGCTGAGGGAGACCACATTCCCAGATCAGGTACTGCTTTATCCATCAGATTGCCATCAGAAGTTGTTGTCCATCACAGTGTGAGAAGCCCGTTGACTGACCGATCAAATATTATTTCTACTTATGTGGTGCACTGTGTGGTCTCTTTATGTTTTGCTAGGTCCAGGACCTTGTGTTTAACCTGCACATGATCCTGTCTGACACAGTCAAGATGAAGGAGCACCAGGAAGACCCTGAGATGCTGATAGATCTCATGTACAGGTACAGACTAATCCTTTGTATCTGTACTGCCGTCATCATTTATCTTGTTGTTTTTTTTTGTTTTTTTTTTCATGTGCGTCTCCTCTGTTTTGTGCTCCATCTTCAGGATCGCCAAGGGTTACCAGACGTCACCAGACCTGCGGCTGACGTGGCTGCAGAATATGGCTGGTAAACACTCAGAGAGGAACAACCACGCTGAGGCCGCTCAGTGTCTAGTACACAGCGCTGCACTGGTAGCAGAATACCTGAGCATGCTGGAAGACCGCAAGTACCTGCCTGTGGGCTGTGTCACTTTCCAGGTACAGAGACTAGTGGACACATGTCTGTCTTTTATTGTTAGAAAATGTGTGGTTGTATTTGTTAATGTGTATGTATGAATGCTTGCTCCAGAATATTTCCTCCAACGTGCTCGAGGAATCTGCAGTATCGGATGATGTAGTGTCGCCTGATGAAGAAGGCATTTGCTCAGGGAAATACTTCACTGAGATCGGCCTCGTGGGACTCCTGGAGCAAGCTGCTGCCTCTTTTTCCATGGTGAGCGCTGCAGGATGGATAGATAGACGATAAGCTGACAAAAATGCCAATGATGATGTTAGCGATTTTGGGAAAAGGGGGCCAACTTTTTTTGTCGGCTCATGAATGAATTGATGTTCTATTTTCAGCAGCAGATGTTAAACGTCTGCAGAGAGTTTTACCTCTAAATTAATATTGCACTACTGAAGACTGCATAGTCGTTACACTCATGAGATGTGATGCAGAGTGTAATGACTCTGCAGTGTTTACTTGAGAACTAAAGGGTCATCTTAGCTGATAATGTATATCCATGCTTATTGCCACATGTGATATAGACAGCAAAGCATTGACTCACTTTCCCATTTTAGTGACCCATTGTAATATGTCATCATGTATAGATAGCAGGCGTTCTTCTTCCTTCTCTGATTATAACTCAAACTGTTCAGGGCTGCTCTATGCAGACTTCACATTGACTAAATGAGCAGGGGAGATCAATCAAAATGTTTTCTTACCCTACAATCTTTAAAATGGTCTTAACAGCTGTTTTCTAACTCAGTTTTCTAACATTACAAAAGTAGATACTTCATGAGACTCCAATCTGGAATATATAATCATTTTTACTATTTCAGGCCTGATTTCCTGAGGGCTATACATTAAGATGTCAGGATTTAGGATAGCTGATTGTCTCATTTTTCCTTTTCCCTCTAGGCGGGCATGTATGAGGCTGTGAACGAAGTGTACAAGGTACTGATCCCTATCCATGAAGCTAGCAGGGACGCAAAGAAGCTAGCCACCATTCATGGTAAACTACAGGAAGCCTTTGGAAAAATTGTACATCAGGTAAACCCAAACACACACACACACACACACACACACACACACGTCATTCTCCCCTTACTATCGAGACTGAAGAAAATAAAAATGAAAAAAAAACGTTTATGTCAGTGTGAGTCAGATTGAATTGTTTAAAATGTCATTGCAGCATGAAGGGCGTACGTGTCTGGCTGCAGAATGTTTTAATAAAAAAAAGGGACAGAACATAGGTCAAGCCCCTCCTCCACAAAACTTTGTCTTCTATATGGTCTTGACTCAGTAACAGCTCCCATAGTTAGCTGGGAAAATCCTGGAAATGTAGTCATGTTGCATATCCTTCACAAAGACACAGCTCTGCTTGGTTTTAATATTTGTGTATTTAGACTTTTTCAGATACATTGCATGCCTGATTTTACCTGTGAAGTTGAAACTGATGATGCATGAGATGTGGGAATAGACTCCTTTTGTGGTCTTTCTTTAAAGGCCAGTTGTGTGACTCCTATTGATGATGTCAAGTTACAGTTTGGGCGAGGTTACAGTTTTCTGCTGGTCAGAGCAACTTCTTTACAAAGCCAGAACGTTTTAGTGGCGACTAAAGATGACCCTTAAACCATTCCATGGACTCTATAAAAGAAGTGAATCTAGTCACCCCTCCATAAAGGGGTTTCCTAACAACTTAGTTTTTTACTCAAAGGGACCAGATGTTGATAGACGCTGACTTTAAAAGAGTTAGACTTATTGTTGCACCCATTGGAGCCGCCCCCTGCTGGCCATTACAAACATTACATGTTTAAGGCACTTAATCCAATGCTTTACTTGTGAAATAAGAGGCTGCATGCACTTCTTATATGCAGTCCATGAATAAGTGACATATATTTTTATGTGTCTGAGGTCAGTTGCTCTGTTCTCCAGCTCAAGCTAGTAACCTAGATAAGAGTCCTTGCTGTAACATCACCGTGTGTGCAGTTGCCACACACCGTGGGTGTGTTTTGGAGGGCTGTATGTGTGATGTCGTTCACCTGTCCTGTATTCTCTTGTCACACAGAGTACTGGCTGGGAGGTAGGTGGCTAAACAGTTCCTGCTTGGCCCTGCTTGATTTGTTTATCTCTTGTGCTGTTTTACATACTCTCATCTTTTTTTATTTGCTAGCTGCGGGCATTCAGATGCTCTCTTTGCTTTGTTCCAAACATCCAACTCCATTAACATCTGCAGACAATGTCAACTGTCTGCCCCCCCCTGCTGGGGTCACTGTGTTGTACAAGCAGCAACACCCTCACTGTCTCCCTCTCTCCTCCCTCCTCTTCATGTGCGAGAGGAGCTTGTTTTCTATAACGTGACAGAGTTGGCAGGCTGTGCATGGGAGCCACAGTGTGTGACACTAATGACCAAAGTCTCAGTGAATGCATCACCTGCACAACCCGCACTTCCTACCCGTCTTCATCTCCTGTCTGTCTGCTGGTGTGTCAGTCAGAACACACTCATTGACTGACACGTCTACTGTCACACATCGCCTCATCTCATCTTCAACCACAGGGCTCGATTTCAGTGCACTTTTTTTTACGCAAAGGGTTTTGTGTTAGCCTCTCCGCTCTAGCCATTGACCATTCTTTCCACACTACGTTAAATGAGCCTTTTTAAACTCAAGGTGGTGCAGACTTGCTTTGGGTCGAAGCTGGAACCAAATTCCTGAGGCAGTCAGCTTTTTTAACCTAGAGGGTTCAACTCACAGTAATCTCAGGATTACTTGATTTATCCCTTTTGATTTTGATCAGTTCTTATTCTTACCCTTTCTTTGAATAGTTCAAACTAAATCGACCCCTGATTTAATTTTTCATTCATTCTTTTCTTTTGTTAACAGTATTAACCTCTGAGTTCTCATGGTTTGTTGCATGAAAAGGACTGAGCACTCCGTGTTTCTTCTTGGAAATGCACTGAGAGAGTGCATGTTGGTCCTCTGGAGGTGGTGGATCTCTGATTCCTCACTTTCTTTTTTTTTTCTTTGTGACTGTCTGCCATTGCATGGTTGGGATCCCCCTACAATGACTTCATGTTTTCTTCTGAATTAATGGAGATATTGTTTTGCTGTTTGTTTTGTTTTTGAAGTTCTCTGGAGGAACCCAATCCTCATTAAATTTGTTCTGTTTTCTCCTTTTTGATTTCCCTGGTTGCCGACCCTTCCTTCCCACTTTACTTAATTGTGTCTTGTGGTAAGTTTCTTAGTTTTCAGGGCTGTTTTAATGTCTCCTTAAGTTTTTGTTTGAATTGTGAGTTACAGTAGGATTTGAACATTTGCTTTAAACTGGCAGCTATCCAAGTGGACTTGTTAAATGATGTCATACTAGAAGTCTGATGTATGTACTTTATCCTCAGCTTCTCCTTCCCTCAAGTTGTGCACACATCAACACTTTTCTTCATGAACACTTTCTGATCTTAAATGTGTACTTTACATTGGAATTGCTCACTGGATGTTAATCCAAGCATTGGCATGGATTTGATCGTCATTATTTCAGTCTTAAGGCCGGACTGGAGTCTAAATCTGTTGTTTTCACTTTTGTATTACATCAAGACTGAATCTAGAAAGATGGGACAGTAGAAGAAACCTAATAAGATATGAGTAAACTAGATCTAAGTCACATGTCATGGTGGTTTGAAAATCGACTGTATCAGGTTTCCACAGATGATTCTAATTGAATCTCAAAGGGCAGCAGTAAAGCCTGTATACAGGCCTATATGTCACTGATTTTGGAAACGCATGTCTGGACACCATTCTCTTCTGATCAATGCAATAACAGTGCAGACACTTCAGATTTCAGAAAGAATTGTGTGTTTGCCTGCAGACTGAACATAGCCTCATACTAACTCAGATATCTCGGGATGGTCGGGTAGAGGAAGTTATTTCTAGCAAAAAAAACGGCGGTGTTCAAAAGAAGCCTTTTGAAAGTTCCAAAAAGAACCTGCAGTTCCTTAAGTGTCCACTTGAGGCTGGCTGCAGGAGCCAAATAATTCCCATTAGGTACCAAAATTAAAATGACAATTTTTTTACAAAAGAAATAAAAACTCGGATGTTTTGAAGAATTCTTTATACATTTCCATCATAAGGAATGTGGTCGGGTTTCCTGACAGGCGGGCTCAGTGCAGCTGTTTTCCAGGAGGATAAAGTCCGACCTCAGCTCTACCACTTTGTGTGTTTTAAATTAACTAAAAGACTGGTAGAGTCAGCTTTTCTAACATGGTGACCGCCGTCATTCAGTTCAAAACTCCTCTTCAGAATCCAATGAGTGATGTCACTGAGACTACAACCATGTTTCATACAGTCTATGGTGTGAAGTGGTTTTGTCCACTTTAGTTCTGTGGACTCTTTCCTCAAGGCTTCTGTTGTCCTCTTTCTCTGCTCGTGACTCTTGGGGCCTGTTCGTGCCTTCTGAGGCGGCTTTGAAGCAACTTTCCCTGTGGCTTTAATCTTCAAACAGACGGAGAATGTTCATTTACTGAATAACATCATTGAATCTTTTATTCTTGTTGATGACATGTGGAAAGTGTGCCGGCTGGTTCAGGAGTATCTCTGGAAGAGGTTGTTGTTTCTCGTTGATCGTTAGTCCTCTGTTATGAACACATCAGTCCTCTCTGTACTTTACGATATAGATGGAACTGCTTTACATGTGCTTTTTACCATGACCTCTTTATCACTGAAGGACTGTGTTTACCATCTATTGAAACTGTGGTTGGTAATCTGGAGGTTTGCTGACATCCTCTTTACATGTGTGTAGACTGCAAAGCAGTGAACAGAATAACTTACTGTTACAGCAGATTGCTGTACAGATGATGAAACTCAGCGTTGGAGATTTATCCCTCAGTTTCTGTATGAACTACATTTTCTCAGTTTCTCCACCCCAGTAACCCACACTCATTGCTGGAAGAGATTCCAATCTAAATATGAAGCACAAACAGTCGTTATTCATATGTAAATGTGTACCTGACAGTAGTAGATCACAGCATGAACAAAGAGTCATCACCATTACAAGACTTAAAGAGTTTGCACTCTTATCCCAGTCTGGTATTTGAACACTAACCGTTTTTATTCTCACTGCTGTAAAGTTGAAATAAATAAATGTAACACAGTTGTCTTCTCTACATTTTATTCCTCGTCTCCCTCATGTCTTACTTTCAATCCGCTCTGCTCACAGGATGGAAAGAGGATGTTTGGTACGTACTTCAGAGTGGGAATCTACGGTTCAAAGTTCGGAGACTTAGACGAGCAGGAGTTTGTGTACAAAGAGCCGGCCATCACCAAGCTGGCAGAAATCTCCCACAGGCTAGAGGTAATGAAGCCCTCGTGAGGCCCGTCTTTAATGTAACACCATGATGTAACCTGTGTCTCACTTCTGTGTGTTGTTTATTCCTATAATGAATGACTTTCTGCTGTTTTTCTCCTCAGGGTTTCTACGGCGAGCGATTTGGAGAGGAGCAGGTTGAAGTCATTAAGGACTCAAACCCAGTGGACAAGTGCAAACTGGACCCAAATAAGGTAAGTGTTGGGGAGAGCGTGAATTCAGAGTTCATATTTAACAGATTTTTATTTTATTTTTTTAAATGAAGCCGAAGACAAAACAGGAGTCTCCGTCTTTCTGCAGGCGTTCATCCAGATCACATACGTGGAGCCGTACTTTGACACGTACGAAATGAAGGACCGCATCACTTACTTTGACAAGAACTACAATCTGCGTCGTTTTGTCTACTGCACTCCCTTCACCCTGGACGGGCGAGCACACGGGGACCTGCACGAGCAGTACAAACGCAAAACCATCCTCACCACGTCCCACGCCTTCCCTTACATCAAGACGCGCATCAACATCATCCACAAAGAGGAGGTGAGTGAAGCGTTTACAAACGGGCTCCGACGTACATTTTTGTAGTGTTAAAGACTTATCTGAATATATAATCCAGTAACTGAGGACTCTCTTTGATAATCATTACAAAGTCGTAAAACGCCTCATCTCATTTTTTACACAAAGTGAATTCTTGAAATAGTTTCTCTTGCCAAAAGAAGTCGAAAACTTTCAAACAAACAAAGGCAAAAATAAATTGTTTTATAAGAGAAGCTGGAACGAGCAAATATCTGACACATCTGCTTTAAAAAAAATGATTCTGGGATCATCAAAATATTAGGCAGAACATTTTCTTTCAACAGACGTACTGATAGGACCAATCCTCATTTCCTTCTGGATGAATAAAGTTCTATCACCTCTCATCTTTTTTTGACCTTGCTGTTATGAACCTGTCTGTTCATCCCTCTCCAGATTATCTCCACGCCCATCGAGGTTGCAATAGAAGACATGCAGAAGAAGACTCAGGAGCTGGCCTTTGCCACCCACCAGGACCCGGCTGACGCGAAGATGCTGCAGATGGTGCTGCAGGGATCAGTGGGCACGACTGTCAACCAGGTACAGATAGAAGTCAAGCATGTACATGTGATAACAAGGTGTACGCTTTTCCTTTGCAGTGGTATCAAATGAAATGTGGTGTTTGTCTCAGGGTCCTTTGGAGGTGGCTCAGGTGTTCCTGTCTGAGATACCAAGCGACCCCAAACTGTACAGACACCACAATAAGCTACGGCTCTGCTTCAAGGACTTCACAAAGAGGTATGCTCTGTGCAGGATCATTCACCGATCAGAGTCCCGCATGCTGGTATCTCATGGACTCTTTTTTTTCTGCTAAAGGTGTGAAGATGCCCTGCGTAAGAACAAGAGCCTGATTGGTCCGGACCAGAAGGAGTACCAGAGGGAGCTGGAGAGGAACTACCACCGGCTGAAGGAGGCGCTGCAGCCCCTCATCAACAGAAAGATTCCTCAGCTTTATAAACCTGTACTGCAGGTCAACTCACACAGGTAGGACTGAAAACCTCGCCGTTTGTGCGTCTGCGTGTGTGAGAGTACGATCATGTGGTTTGGATGTCAACAAAATGCGTCTTATTTTTTTTTGCTGCAGCAAACGGACAGCTTGACAAGGTAGTTTGTGATTTCAGACCGCATTTTGTGACGCTGTTGTGTGTCTTCGTGTTTTGTGTTTGTAACTCTTCTTTTACATTTCTCACTCGTCACTGAATATATGAAATATAATGACGGTGTGGTGTATTCCAAAAATCACCCAGAACTGTCCCCTCTGCTCCGTCAACACCCACAGGCTGCCAGATAATACGATGCATGTGCTATTAAACACAACAACAAACACACATATGGTCATAAATCTGAACTTTCAAAACAAAGTGTTTTATTCTGAAAATCAACCGGGTGTTTTAATGTTGTGTCGGCGTCTGACTTCCCGTCCCACTCGATCCTTTATGTGGTAAATCGTGCTCCGGCATCTGGCAAATATTCAAGCGTCGCGTATCTGCTGCAGAGGACTCTGGACTGATGCAGCACAGCGGAGCCAGTGGAGGCACACACTGAAGAAAGTAAAAACCTCTCAGCTCCAGATGGACCTAACACACATCTGGTGGAATTTAGGGGTTCGAGTTATTTGAATGGAATAGTGAAGAATCACAGCAATACAGTAAATATGAACCTTTACAATGTGAAAAGAATTATATTAAAGACGAAAACAACCTTTATGAAGAGTGAATACCAACAGCAGAATACTTCACATTCTGTACGACGTTCTTTAGGGCTTTTATGTTTTAGAGATATGAATAAAAATACTCATTGATTTCTAATCAAACTATTCAGATTCCATATAATAAAACGGAAAGGCTACAAGCCGGTTGACATCGTTTTTGGAGCTGTTGAACTTCTTAACTTAATCCTTCCAGAAACACTTTCTTGTTGATAAAATTCAAACTGATGATCTTTTTGTTTTTGTCACTAAAAATATTTTTTCTCTCTTATTTTCAGAGATTCCTTCAGCAGAATGAGTCTCCGCAAGCTTGACATTTGAAGATGAAGTCACACGCGCACACACACACACACACACGCACACACTAGCACAAACACGTTTCAGAAAATTGCAATATTAATTTATTCTTGAGTGTACATAGGAGTGTGTTCAGAGGAGGTCGTTGTTTCAGAGAGCGTGCAAAAAGGAAGGTTTAAAGTGTTACAGCTTGGTACGTCATTCCAGTGTCTTAAATAGTTTACAAACTGTTTCACAGCGAGAGGGACGAACAAGTCGATCTTAAAGGTTAAACAGATACCTTGGCATTTACTATCATTTCTTTGCTGGCTGTTTGTCAAACAAGGAAACAAGTCTATGATTATCTCCTACTAATTTTAGCCACGACTTCTGAACCCATCAGAATCTGTGTGAATCAAACCAACGAGCCGCTGATTTCAGAGAATGACGTCATCCCTGCGTTTGTTTTCAAAAGGTGCCAAAAAAAAAAGGTTTTCTTCTATTTTTTATTTCCAGCCAGACTTTGACAAATATCTGCAGAGAAGGTACGGTTTTAAAAGTCAAGGTGTCTATTTAATAATGTGTCAAAAATCTGTATTCAATTTCATGTGTGCACTTTTTTTATTACCGTGTAGCAATGCATTTTACAACTTGAAGATTATGTCGTTGGAAAAAAAAGGAAAACGTGCAAAAAATGGTACCATTATTTATCATGATGCTTTATTATTATTATTATTATTATGATTCTTTTTAGTTAAAGGATGTTTCAAAGCTCGCTACTTTAAACATCCTTTATTATTTTATGTAGTTTTGTTTTATTTGAAATATTTTACTAAATAAATATTTTAATGTTCCGTGGTTGGATATTGTCTTGCTTTTTTCTTGAAGTAGTTTTCATGTGTTTGAGCGGGACGGCTTCATGTCAAGAATCAGCAGGGAGGACAAGTGAGGATAAAAAGTTTTATTGCTTATAGTAAGAACCCGCCATCGTTAATCAAAGAACAGCTGTTAAAACAGACGACACTCTTACTGGATCTGTTGTCACACTGAACCAGATCAGTCAGCACTTCGATGAAAAACTTCCCAGATCTAAAAGTGAAACCTGAATATAACGCACTTCGACACTTTGCTGTAGAACCTGAGATGAGCCATGTAAACGTCCCTGCATATTTTAAATGACCCAGGCAGATGCATGTTTTTCACATGTCAAAGTTACGTCTTAATAACTCCCAAAAAGTTGCTGAACAAGCACAAACGAATGCAACATTTGATTTAAAGTAAAAATCATCATCTTAACAATTACAAGGACATTACTGACATGGCTTTTAAAGAGTGTGTGATGTCCGGCCTGAGGGAGAAACTTGGCTGCTGAAACGTTCCATCAACATCATTTACATATGAACTTGATACTTGTTTCATTTAACATTTCAGTGTGTTTCATGTAGAGGTCAAAACACTTCAGCAACTCTTTTAGCATGAAGTTCAACTTTATTAACAAATTAATCTGACGCGTTTCTGGAGCGTTTTGACCTCTTCAAGCCTTTCACTCTTTATGCACCTTGATAGTCGGTGAAGTTGTGCCAGAAAATCCCGCTCTGCTTCCTCAGCGTGTTTCATGTAAAAACATGCCAGTGTGTGTCCTGCATAAAATGTGGACTTGCTGTTCGCATGTGTCAGCAGAAGCTTAAAATGGGCAGTGGGGGAAAAAAATGAACTTCAAAACTTCACATGACTTAATTCTCACAAAAGCATATTCTTCAATGATTTGCAAATGGAAAGATTTTTGGATCCCAGTTGACTTTGGCTTTTTATGTAAATTTGAATTTAATGATTATAGAAAAAGACTTCGGCTAAAAAAAAAAAAAATACATTGTCCAACATTTGCGTTTTCATAAATTTTAAGTCTAAAAGTGCTTTTTTCAGTTAGTAAAAAAATGGATCCATACAAACTGAGTTACTAAGCAAACATGAAAAACAAGATATGTTTAAGAGACAGTGACAGAAAAAGATTCAAAACCAGTGTCCAAGGAATGTCGATACAAACAGCATAAAGATGTGCCGCTGTGTTTAGTCTACAGAGGCAAGAGCAACAGAAAAAAAAGAGTCATCCCTGACACACAAAAGGAAACCCCGTTTCTAAGAAGAGCCTACACTGGCTCGAGGAAATCTCTTGAGGTGAATCCTGAAGCAGGAGCTCAGTTCATAAAGTATCAACAGGTGCTAACATGGCAGCAGCAGTCTTTTTGGCACCATTAGTAGTTTTGCATAATACATTAGTCTGTGTGTGTGGGTGCCAAACTGGCTACTGGCAGAACCCCCCCCTCCCCTCCCCTCCCCTGAGTCAGCAGCGGCTCATGTGTTCACAGGTTCAGGCATCCTCCTGTAGAACAGCAGGTACGGAGTCGACGAGGAGCACGTCTCAGGTGAGCACGCTTGCAGGAAGTCCTCCTCCTCGAACAAACGCACCTCAGAGTCATCAAACAGCATCCACTTGCCCTCGTACTCCAGGAGGTTGTTCACAGCCTGCTGCTGGCTGGCCTCCGCTCCACCGCCGGAGGTTGTCGTTGCTTCCTCTGACTCTTTTTTAAGTCCCGCTTCAGTGCTGTTGATGTTCTTCCTCCGTTTGGATCCCTCTGTTGCCCCACTACTGCCTGCTTTCTCTGTGTGTTTGCTGCTGCTGTTCCCAAGATCGTAACTGGACACGCTCCTCTGACCCCCCAAGAGTCCGACCCCGCCCTCCGAGACCTTTTTGCCTCCCGTTTTGCCCTTAGCCAAACTGGCGCCCCTCTGTCCCCTTCCGTTCAGGCTGAACGACACCTCTCCATCGTCGTACTCCAGCACTTCCTCCTTCGCCCGTGTTCCCTCTTTGTTCTCCTTCTGCTCCTCCTCTCTCTCCTCCGTTTCTTTTCCGTCCTGCAGCCACAGCTTCGCGTCTTTCAGGTCACTCATGCGCACGTAGGCGGTGTAGTGGCCGCTGCTGATGGTGACGCCGCTGTGCATGACGACAGCAAACAGCTGATAGCGCTGACCCTTCTTGGATGATGGTCGCGTGCACCACTCCTCCAGGGACAGAGTCAGGGGGGTCTGCAGGGGGGTGTTCACTTTACACAGACCTGCATACGGGTCCAATCTGGGAGGAATAGGAAAAAGGAAGTGTTATTTATTGGGATATTTTCTGTGGGTAAAATAAATGGTAAAGGATTATTTTACATCAAATAACAATTTTATCGACACTCTGTTTTCGGAGGGGGAGTCGTTAATCAAGTGTATTTTTCTAAGGCTGTAAGAAGACAGAAAACAGGATGGTGAAAGTGTAGTGTGGACCTTTCTTCTACTCACTCCAAGCTGCTGGCGGAGAATCGTTTCAGGTGAATGGTGATCACTTCAGGAGTTTTATCAAACAGCAGACTTCTCTCGGCCTCCGTGTAATGATGACACGTCTCACAGAAATATTTGTCCTCTCCTACGATGCGCTCCACAGAGGCGAACTGGCCGATGGCCCACTTCAGAGTCTTCAGCTCTGGTTTGGGATCAGGAGAGACTGAGAGACACAGAAGAGCACTTCTTGAGTTGGTGACGTTACTTTTGACATGTTTGACATTTTTGTCTGGCAGTTTTAATCTGAAGAATACAGATTGACTGATAACACTTTGATTTAAAAACAACAACAACTTGTATGTGTGTTTCTAGAGCAGTTTTGTTAGTTATCTAGACTGTTCTATATTTCAGTCTGGAGCCTGTTAGCCACCGGTCATTTCTAAGTCCTTCCAGGTGTCAAAACAGTAAATAAGGCTGAAATAAGACAAGCATATTAAAGTGACGTTTCCATGTGAAGAGAATAGAAAAAAAGCAAAAAGGATGGAGCTCTTGTTGGATCTAGATTATTCAATGAGTCGTCGTCCTCCTCACCTTTTGAGAGGTCTTCTGGACTGCTCGGCTGGTCGTCGAGCACGGGGACGCTGATGTCCTGGAAGTCTTCTCTCCTCTCCGTGAAGCTCTCGCACTCCAGACAGCGAGTCCTCAGGACCAGCTGACCCTGGAACAAGCGCTCCATCAGGTCCAGACCATCTGAACGCGACAAAAACAAAAGAGAGGTATCCTTCAAGTTTCATTTCTGACGTCACATTTCAAGTACTGCCACATTTTAAATTTCTTATTCTTTCACTCTCCCTTCAAATGTTTTTAAAGGAAGACAAACACTACTATATATACACGAGCAATTGAATTTTACAGACGACTGAAAACTAATAACATGACTAGATTTATATAGAAAAAACAGCTTGCATGTATCCCAAGCCTTAGAGCACCTCAAACTATTTCTAACCGAGTCCACGATTTTCGTCTTTAAAACAAATTACCTCCAGGTTTTACTGTCTTCTTGTCGTCAGCCGTGTCTCCTGTCGATCTCTCCTCACTGCTCTTCTCGTTCTGACGCCGGTCGTCGTCGGCGGTCTCGTCCTCCTGCTCTGCTTTGATTTGACACTTGGCGCTCATGGAGCTGATCTTCCCCACGCTGCGGAACTTGGAGAAAATACTCGGCTGTTTCCCGGACGGCCTCAGCCAGCTAAGCTTAGCCTTCTTCTTTCTTTTGCCCTCCGTCTCTTTAGAGTTCTTTCCCCTTTGCCCTCACCGTCACTCCCTCCGGCCTCCTCCTCCCCGTTAGGTTTCGTTACCCCTTCCTCCTCCTTCTTCTTGTCTTGGTTGCTGTCGGGCGTGATGTCACTGGAGGACTTCCTTTTGGAGCGTCTGAGGGGCGCGTCTCTACTCACGCCAGCTTCCTCTGCGTCACATTTCTTTGACTTGACTGATTTCGGTTTCTTTTTGGCGTTTCCCACCTCGGTGTCGCTCTTCCTCTTGCCGCCGACTTGGCCGTCCTCCTCCTGGCCAGTTTTGGATTCAGAGCCGAGACCGTCCGCTTTCACCTCAGTCACATCTTCAACCTCGCTCTCCAACTTCTGCTCCTTTCGGATGGTGTCACAAGCCTCGTGGATGTATCCCAGCATGCACTGCAGCACCTCCTGGGCGTCATGCTGAAGATAGCCTTCATACATGGGGTTCAACTGCCTGAAACACACAGAGCCTCCATGAGTTCACTTCTTGTTTCAGCTTGTAAACATTCTTTAGATGATTTCTCTGTTGTTAACAGGAAGTACACAACTTCACACATCGATTGGATTTGACAAGTTCATTCTAATCTTTTTCTATTTCCATCTTACCTTGAGACATTCTGTGTTTTAAAACAAACTAAGACAGGAAGGATAACAACATGTTGTGGTTTAAGAACAGGACTAGGACTCTCTAGCCACACCTTGCTTTGTTCTTTTCTCTCAAAGCTATTTGACTTCATCTATGACTCAAAGTAACCATGTCACTACCTGAGTGTGTGGAGTATTTTACGAGGCGGTGTGGCGAGTTCTCCCTCGCTGAAGCTCTCGGGGTTGAGCAGGAAGCTGGACTGCAGCTGCTCCACTGATGCTATCAGACTGTTGAAGCTCCCGAGGAGCTCGATCTGAGCTGGTGAATCTTCAGCAGCGACTTCAGCCTGCTGACAACATGTTTGCAAAGATAAAATACAAAAGCAAACATCACTTAAAAAAACTGTTTACTTAAACATTTAAGTAGTATATCTGCTTTAGAGGTCTAAAAACAATAACAGGACCCCTCTTAAGGACCTTTAATAAGTGTTGATGACTGCAATGTGTTTTTGACGCTGTCGTCAACATGTAATCTGATTTGTATTTCACCCACCTCTTCGCTTTTATCTGACTCTTGCTTTAGTTTCTCTTTCCTTTTGGACAGGTCGTACAGTTTCTTTATGCCTTCCCTGAGACCTGGGCAGTAGTACAGCACCTACAGGAGCATTGTGACATCATATTTTACCACTGACATCTGCAGAAGGCAACAATCTGCTTCCTCTGTGTTCACATGGCACTGCACAGTATCAGCACTACAACACTGCACACGAGGACGCTTTACTGTCACATCAATAGTCTACACAAAGAGTTGCACTAACTTTTATAATGTGCTGTTTCCTCTACAGGAGAAAACAATTTAATATCCAAACACAAGCAGAGCCTCTCATTACAGAGGTGCCATCAAAGATTATTATTCAGTGGACGCGTTTCTTCTCGATTCATGGCCCACCTGTAAGACGCTGTTCAAATAGCAGGTGTTGCCCAGGTTGTTGAGCCCAACAAAGGGCACCAGGTTCTCTCTCTTGTCGCAGGGCAGGAGGAGGCCCGGTGAGTTAGGACACGGGGGAGGAGCAGGGACTACCTGATCACAGGTGCTGAACAGCAGAAAGGAAAACATGGTGTCAAATAATGAACCTTTTTAATGCAAAATCATCATCATGAGCTTATAGTTAGATGATTTATCGTTAACAGTTTATTAACAGGGTCCTAGTCACCATCCTCTGTTGAACATCACAAATAAAACAAACTCCTCAGATTCATAAAAACCAAAGATTCACCAATTGGGGAAAAATCTGGCCTGATATCGATTTTTAAAATAACCTTTTAGTCAATTCTGATACCAATGTTTGTTTCATGACTTCTTTTGGTGCCAGACTCCCACAATGCCAACATTTTTCTCTCGTGTTGTGACCATGAAAACAGTCAGTTTGTTCAACAGGTTTTCTAGGGCAGACTTCTTCTGCCCTAGAAAACCCGTCTTCTCTGAATTAGCAGTTAGGTGTACTAGATGCCAGCGTTAAATTGATTTAGCAAAACAAATAAACATCGGCTAATGTTGCATTCTTTGCCCAATATCGGCTGATACCGCTGTGATGCATCCCTGATGAAAATGAAATCTGACTCGTGAACAAGACTATTATTCACATTTTATTCTCAAAATAAATAATTTTCATAAGCTGATGTGTTTTTTTTTTTAAACAGCTACATTATTAGATTATATCCTCCCAGTTTGTTTCCACTTTGCTGAGCTGTTATTGATCTTAACAATTACAGTTTTCATGTTCAAATCACTGTTTCTGATCAAAAATGTCTAAAAAACTAAAGTCTCTTGCATTACAACTTCACTTGGCTTCTAAGTTTTTTCTCTCTTTTACTCCAGAATTCTTCAAATATAAAGCTAGAGTCGGATTATGTGGTCAAAAGAAAGGCTTGGGTGGTCTCATGTAAGGATTAATACGCGTTTCTTAGCCTTGTCATGCTCATGAGCCAGATTTAGTTGTCATTGCTTACGTGAATGTATTATTACACATGTGAATATTCTTCCTATATTCTGATATTTCATATATATATTTAATTTTAAAAGTCTGTTTGCACGCACTACATTAAAACAAATGTGTATTTCAGTTAATGGAGTTAAATTAAGGGAATTCTATCGATTATCATTTAAAATGCTGCTCAACTATCATTCAATTTAGGATAATACTTTATTGTTTCCCAGAGAGGAAATTCGGGTGTTACAGCAGCACAGACAAGAAAGCTCAAAAATACACATTAAACAGAATAGATAAATAAAAGTAAAAATAAAAACAGGGGGTATATACATTACAAAATGAATGATTAGGTTAACTGGGGGGAATTTGAATTGAGACAGTATTTGCAGAGAATGTATAAACAAAAGCTTCTGGGGAATTATGAATGTATTGAGTTAATATAAGTGATTGTTTCTATATTGTTTGTTTTGTGAAATAAAGAGAAAACAACAGGTTAGCCATCTTATTCTGTTCAACAGTATCTTAGGGGAGGGGGAAGGGGGGGGCAGGTATTATAAGTGTTCTTCTTCCTGCTCCTGTTTGCTCATGAACAGTGTTTCAGTATTATGAGAAATTATTATAAAGTTGAAACCAAACACTGAAATGAGTAAATAACTCAAAAATGAAATGAAATGTCAAGACTACTCAAGAAACTAAAAGGATGCATGTGTGAGATTTTCCTGCAGATTGTTGTGACTGAACGACCCAAAACAACACCACTCTTCAATAAATAAAAGGGCTTTAAAAGCTGTGTTTTGACCCCCGAATAAACCCCCCCGCCCCCGCCCCCTCCCCCTGGACTCACCTGGCCTCAGCCTCCTCTGGTTCCTCCGTGTTGGGATCTTCCGCTGGAGGTTCAGAGAAATCCAGAGCCCGTTTAGTTTCTTTCTTCTGCAGACACTTCAGAGACAGACGACTCCTCCTGACGGGGCTGCTGTGGGCAACATTTTCACCCTGCAGGCCTGGCATCTTCTTATTTAGGTAACCCTAAGGAAGGTGGAGAGGGGTGTTGGGTTTTCTTTTCTTGCTAAGATGCAGCAGCAGCAGCAGCAGCAGCAGCAGCAGCGCCCCCTGCTGGTGAGAGAGGAGAAGACAGCTGCGTTTCAGCGGCGCCATCAAGAGTTCAACGAGACCGACAGTAACTACGCACTTCAGTTTAAAACAACACAGGCGTCACAATGCAACACGAAGAGGTAAAATGTCGTGAATATAGACATTTAAAAACTGCTTTTTGTTCAGCTTTAAACCGGCAACGTTGAGAAAATAAAAGTGGGTCAAAAACGGTGACGGAGTGGGAGGAGAAACCAGACAGTGCGCCGCTTCCTTAACTCTTCACTAACCGCAAAAATAAACCCTCCAGGTGTTCACAGCTTTGTTAAAGTCTTACCTGAAGAAGTCATCACACGTTTAGGTTTGATGTATTTCACAGAACATCCCGTCCTAGAGTCATTTAAGAGTATCCGCACGGTTCGCAGACGGTGCAGCAGCAGAAGTTGGCGCTTTTTCCTGTTGGAAGACCTTCTGACTGTTTCACCGCCGGGGGGAAAAAAACACACAAGCACCACGGCGAAATATTCAGCAAAGACTGTCGCAGTATTAGCACCTCCCGACGTCAAAACATATTTCAAACATCCACGCAAAAATTATAAAAGTGCGTCGACGTCTTTAAAAGCATCAACTATAAAAGTAATACGTTCAGAATATCAGGCTAAGATTAAGTCACCTATGTTATTCAGGACCCCCCCCCCCCCTCTGGACGAGTCCTGAAGGCCATTTTTGTAGTCCATTAGCAAACGGCGTCAAACTAACAACAGTAAACTAAAGATTCCTACTTCAAAGTAAGACAGGCTGATTTTGTGGTAAACATGAATTAAAATACAGATAAATATTGTCACTGTTTATCTGATATTTTGACCATATCGCAGTAATTCATAAGGAGTTTGTGGTAATTCAAAATATAGATAACTTTGTTCATAACTAGTCTATGTCTATGTATAAAAAAATCATAGTATATCAAGTTGTATATATGTATGGAAAAATAATTGGATTGTAAATATCAAATATAGTATCATAAATATAGTATAGCAAATTGTATATAGATAGATTGTATATATAGAGAGATTATAAGGAACACAGGAAGTTAATTTAATTTAATAAATATTAATTATTGAGCTGTGGAAAAGGGGTAGGATTAAATAAGTTTTCTACTCCTTTTCAGGCATATCAATTGAATATATGTAATTTGCTTTTTAAATAATTTGAACATTGTTTTATTTGTTTATTGTATTTTCATTTTGTTTTGAATTTTTGATATGTTTGATTTTATTTGATATGTCTGAAATACATTTAATCAATTAATCAATCAATGTTAAGATTGGATCTGAGTTTACAACACACGTTGTTATTTTGCTACAATGATCACTTTATTGAATTGCATGAGCAGTGAAGGCTTGTGTGAAGCTTAAAACAAGGACAGAACTTCTGTTCATTTACATAGGACTACAAAACCAAAAAATACTCATCAACCATAACAACATAATGACTGTGTCTATTTATTTATTTTTTTACAGTGAGATCATTTTTTAATCATAAACCTAAATCCTAGAGGTAACTAATGTTGTCAAATAAATGTAGGCCTAATGTATAATGTGTTGTCAATGAAGTTGGACAATAGGAACACACAGGCCTACTCATGAACATTTGAAGTGCCTCTAAATAGAACTATGTATGTTGTTTTAGTATATTATATTATACATATATATATATATATATATCTATATCTATCTATCTATATATATCTATATTATATTTTGTATTTTTAAGTTAAGTTTAAGCTTTAAGTTGTATTTAAATTGACACTTCATATTTAGGTTATAATGTTTCGTACTTGCACTGTTGTTAATTTACTGCTCTATGCCTTTGAATTGCCCCCCAGGGACAAATAAAGTTTTTTGAATTTGAATTTGAATTAACTAAGCGACCTTTTCAGTTTTAGCCTTTTATTTTTATGAATTTAGATCACAGGAAGTGATGTGTGGTTGTATTTCGTCTGACTTTAAAATATTCCTTTTGCAAAACTCTTACTAAAAAAAATACATAGCCTTAAGATATGTTCAGCTACATTTATGTTGTTCAATCAACTTAATTGTGACTTAATTCATTTGTTGTTTTATTTTATTTATCATCATTATAAATACACGAAACTTAACACCTCGTCACAGTAAACTGTTTAAAACTGTCGCTACCAGCAGTACCCACCTTTGATCAACAGGGGGCGGCATTGTCCGTGAAAATGAAGGTTGAGCTGTCCAGCATCATCCGTACTTCCACTGGAGCATCTCCTCATCTGACAGTCAGCAAGAGGCTTCTCCTCCACGATCTGCACGGTAAGATACTATTTAAGATATTTCTGCTTTCTGTTTGATCAGGTGACACAAAATCGTCTTGAAATGTTCCCCGTGATTGTAACGTGTTTAATCTCTGTTGCGTCTGATTGGTGGGACCAGTTGTAGTGTGTTGAATTTTTTTAAAAAAGGGCTGCAGAGTGTTGTTGCTGACGTGCCTTTTTTTTTGTTTTTTTTACCACCCAGGGAGGATGGTAGTAACTGAATGCAGCGTAAAAAATAAGAATTGACAGGTGTGACGTTTCCTCCATGCATGCAGTTAGTGTAGGCATTTGTCAGTACGGTGTGTGTGTGTGTGTGTGTGTATGCAGGACGAACCTCTGCTGCTGCTGCTGCAGAGTGGCTGCTTGCTCAGCACCAAAGATGTATCGATGAGCATCACCTACTGCTTCCAGAATCCACTTATTTTCTGGCTTGGGGATCAAGTGGTGTTGCAGTAAGGATTCAGTAATGGATGGGAGTAGTTTGGAGGTACATGACTCCCTGTTGGTCTGAAGCCTCCCCCAGCTGTGGTTGTGATGCAGCTACAGCATGTTTATCCCATCACTATCTTACTGGCTGTGCAGCCTATATCTTTGCAGTCTCCAGCTCTGAGTTGCCTCTAACTGTACATTTCCTAACTAAACGACTGAACCAGCACTGTTTGAATTTGGCTGTGATTATCTTCAATCATAATTGCCGTGATGGAATAGATTTCATTAGAGATGTAATAACCAGCAGTTGATTTATCCAGATTTAACAAGGAGGACTGGCGGGGAGGTGCTTTTTTTTCTCTCTCTCTCTCTCTCACATCCCAATCCAAAGCATAGCCAGGAGATATAGACTACTGTAAAAGGGGATTACTGTGTTTCACCTCCGTCATCACCTCCTGATAACATCATTTTCTCAAGGGGAGGATTTTTTTTTTCTCACTCACTCACATGGCAGATCCTTTCATCCATGTCCTGAGCTACATACTACTCAGTTAAATCCACACGAGTCTTTGGTTGTTTGATTAGATATTTCATGACACATTAAATGCAACCAGATTTTAAAGCCTGCGAGGCGGGTCATGTTTGAGCAATGAAATGTTGATGCAAACATTAACTTGAGAAAAAAAAAAGAAGACACAAACACTGACCAAGAATGATCCCCCAGATGTTTTCATCATCCCATACGCATGCAGACATTTTCAGAGATGTTGCCAACCTACTGCCTGAAATGACAAGAATTTAACCCCTAACCTGCAGTAGTAATGAGGGTCATTCTTCATACACTGAGCACTGGAATTGGTCTTTATCAAGGCAGGCATTGTCCCATGAGGACACGGAGCAGCAGAGGTTGGTGGTGTGGCAGCTCGAAGCCTTGACCCATGACGCAAAGTACCCCCCCGCCATCCCTCCTGCCTCTGAGGAGGGGACACTGAAGGGAAAAATGAAAGCATGTTGAGCGACAGGCAAAGGTGCACTCCAAGAATGAGAGGCATGTCCTGAAATCGACTTCAGTTTACTTCTCAACAACAAACCTCTGTACGCTTGAGATGGTTTGTTTATCCTAGGATACTAATTACACTAATTACGCTCGTAATAGTATTCACGTTCACAAGCAATACATTTTTGGGTCTGCAAATTGCTTTCTTTTCACTTTAAGTTATTTACTGCGTTTAAGTAACGGAAAATATCAGACATAGCACTGGAAATTATCGCTATCAACAACAGTTAACTTAAAGAGGTCATATTCTGCCCTTTTTGGGGTTCGTATATTTAATCTATGTACCTACTAAAGTATGTTCACAATGAACTGCCGCTCCACGCACCGGCTCGCTTCTGACTCTCTCTCTAAGGCTCTGAAGTGCCCACGTTCAGACTCCCCACGTGTGCCAAGTCTGATCTGATTGGTCGGCCTGTCGGCTCTAGCCGTAATTGGTCAGTCGCTCAGCACCGTTCTCGGAAATGTCACGCCCCTTTTACCATATTGGGAATGCAGCCACTTTGGCTCCGAGGGGAGCATAAACATTAGCACCTTAGCACTACTGTGCTACCGCAGGCTACGGCATATCGTGGGCGTGCTACAGAAGTTAACGGGCGTGCAACATGAGCTGCTGGACTCGCAACAATGAGCCAATGGGCTTAGATCAGTGATCTCACACTGACAAGACGTCACACTGACAAATTTTTCTCGAGGGGGGCTAGAACCGAGCGTTACATGCAGCTAATGCTGCAGCTAACAGGAGGACGTAGGAGAAGCCGCGTTTCCACAGACTTTGAATTTTTGCGCATAGATGTGCCTAAACATGCACAGGACACTTGGAAAACACACTAAAGAGCAGATAAAACCAGAAAAAGCATAATATAATAATATCTGCAAAGCTCGCTAATGAACAGGGTTATGTCTTGTAAGATTTATTTTCTTTATTACTAACAAAGTGTTTAAATAACAAATTGCAGTTCAGGGCATTATGTACTTGACCCATGATGCAACACATGGTGATGGACGAGCCTAGTGCTTAGATAGTAGCCTAGCATTTACTTTGGGTCAGCAAATCCAGGACATAGGCTAACTCACATTGTTAAAGCCAAAGTAGAAACTTAAAATACGCTTTTTTTGTTTTTTTTTTGTAACTTGTAACTTTGTTTCAGGACTGTGTTATGTTTGATGGATCCATGGAGGCAAACTGTTGTTCTGGTCTTTGTGCTAGGCTAGGCTAGGCTAGGCTAAGCTAGCAGGCGGCTGCTGCTGGCTGCGTTTGCTTTATAAACAGATATTAGATTAGTGGTACCAGTCTTCCCTATCGACAACACATCATCGTTTTCCTTGATTGTTTGGACCAACAATTAATGGGCATTTAAGTTAAGAGAGTTAGCCCTTTGGTTTACATCTAACACACTTGAAACAATAAGTTTAAGACTTTTTTACTTCAGAGATAACTTTAAATAACTGATCAACAACAACAAAAAAGTGTCTTCATATGAGCGTCCAAGAAAGGTCTCTGTTTGGATGATTTTTTATACCTCAGGTTGTTTCAGTTGAAGGTTTTTTTGGTGGACTTGAAGAGGCTAAAGTAGAAAAATCATGTGACCTCTCGCTACACCTCAAGATCGAACTATAAGTTTAAAAACGCAGGATTAATAAACTCTTTTTGAGCTCTCTGCCTCGGCTTTAATAAGATTTAGTGAGCGTTAAATTC